TTGAAGACCAAGACTGCAAGTCAACTGCTAATCCCTTTGGACCGGTGCTAAGAAGCTTTTCATCAATCATGCAGATGGTAAGACATCACCACTGCACACGTCATCGTCGCTAGTGTCTCCTTTCTTGTTCTGTTGAGCTCTGTTGCAACTTGCCTCTCATACTGATCCCTCAAGGGACACCAGAATGTGATCTTCATGTACAGGCAGTTGTCCCCCGTGTCGGATCAACATTGATTTTGGTCCTAGCTCTGGTGGTCCTCTGGGACAGGTGGTAGTCTTGTGAAAGTGGTCTCCCTAATGGGGTATTCACACGACAGGCAAATCCACGTGCACTGGAAAGTTGAAGGGAGTGACATACGAGAAAAGTGACTGTGTGGATTCACACAGCTGCGCTTGACGACAGGCACGTTTGCATTTTTGAATGCTTCACCGACCAGTAGCCATGGGTATTTCAAATTTTCAAAACACGCATGCAATAATTATCATGTTCTAAAGAGCCGCGTAAACAATCAAGTCTTGTTTCGCGCTTTTTGGTGTAAATGTACTCGTGCACGCCATGATTATCGTGAAAGTGGGCCCCCAGCTCGCTTGCACTTTTCAGCCACTTTTCTCGTTCACAGGTAAAATACCATAGCAACTTTCCGGTGCACGTGGATTTGCCTGTCGTGTGAATACCCCATAACAGGTTTTCCTTGTAGAGTGGTCTCCTTTACAGGTTTTGCCTTAGAGTGGTCTCCTTGACAAGTGGTTGCCTTATTGGAGTGGTCTCATTGACAGGTGCGTTTCTCCTCAGAGTGGTCCCCTTGATAGTTTTTCCCCTACCTTCACTCTCATCGTCTACGCTCGATGTCTGTGTTGTGCAAAGCATTCACTGGCCTGCTTTTGTATCCATGTATCTCGTCTGTTTTCTCTCTCTCCCCCCCCCCCCCCCCCCTCTCTCTCTCTCTCTCTCTCTCCCCCTCTCTCTCATATCCTGATAGGAGTATCCAGAGCGGTTTCTTCTAATCCGGCGTCAGCAACAAATCATCACCAAACTAGTATCAGTCAACAAGCAACTCGTCGGTCGAGACTCAAGGCCCAAGAAGGTGAGCCATGATACAAATTTCCACGCTTGTATCCCTAAAATGACCAACTATAAGCAAAAGATCTCCATTTTTGTCACGAGAAAATAACAATAGAGATAATGCCCTGACGTCATGACAGAGACTCCCTCGATTTAGTCCATTTGAAGGCATGTGGAGAATCCATAAATACAAATTCAAATACAAAATGATGCCCTCCTGGGTGAAGATTTTGAAGACAATTGTTGTGTATGGTGCGGCCTAGGACTTTTCTTGTGGTAAGGGTTGGAGGTGTGGTGGATAGATATAGGAGGCGGAAACTTAATCACACACAGCAACAGCATTGTAAGCTTCATTTCTCAGGCAAGTTTCAAGACCTCTTCCAATAGATTTGTGACACATTCATCATCAGTGGATACATGAGATGATGACTTTGAGCGCGGGTCGAAAAGTGTTTCGAAAATAATTTTCGTCAGTTGACTAGTTCATGAGCAGCAATATTTTACTGTGTGTGAATGACAGCTGTGCGCGTAAGTCCAATCTTATTGAGAGAGAGAAAACACGTTATCCGAGCGCGAACTGTTTTGGATGGCGCCTGCTGCCGTCCATCTCCCGCACCACTCTGTAGAAACTCTGCATGTGTGTAGCGTCTGGGTTCTCTTTCCGCTTGTCATGTTCTACTGTGTGAGGAAAACTGGTGCAACTCGTAGCAACTTGTTCTGCTGAATTGTTTTCTTGTGTGCAGATTGAGAGGCTACGCAGCCTTCTCACCGCATCGCACTTTGAAAGCTTTGAACCGTTCCCGATTATGCTGGACCCAAACGTTCTGGTCAAGTCTGTTGTCGCTTGTACGTTCTGCTCATGGCTGCTGCTGGTGTTCGTGCTGGTGTGTGTGTATGTGTCTGTCTGTCTGTTTGTCTGTCTGTCTGTCTGTTTGTGTTTGTGTATGTGTTTTAGGGGAGGGAGGGCATGCATGCGTGCCAGTGTATGTGTGGGAGTGCCAATGGGGGGGGGGGGAGGGGGGGGGGAGGGGGGGGGGGCATGTGCTTGCATGCACGCATCTATTTGTCTTACTGTGTATTTGTAGTCTGCCAGCACACCATCAATGCTTTACTTTCTTACAATGCAATAACTCTCTCTCCCTCTCTCTCCCTCTCTCTCTCTCTCCCTCTCTCTCCATCTGCGTGGTGCAGCTGAAGGTCATTTGTTCAAGAGTGCACTGATGCCCTCGCGGATCACTTTCCTCACCACCAAGGACGAGCACTATGTGGTGAGTGGGACTATGGTGTCTGCCTTCACCCACCCACACAGACACCCACACAAACACCCACACAGACACGCACACACACACACACACTCCAGTGGGACTGTGATGTCTGACTTCACACACCCACACAGACACTCCAGTAAACGCGGGTTGAGGTAATGGAAGAATAAAACTAGGCATGTGTGAAGAAGACCAGTAGAGGAACAACTAGGAACACCAAGCGAAGTATGTGCTTGGAGCGACTAGTCCAAGATGATGTGTACCAGTTCATTGTGACACAGGCAATATTAGGGTGAATGCGCAGTTACAGCCGTTGTATGCGCAGACAATATTTTACTATTTCTTGGACGCAATAGTCACAAATCCGTTGATCCCCGAGCTGCAGGGAGTGCTCAATGTCAAAGACAGCGCTTAGTACATAGCAGACTCAGCGGAGGACGTTCATGTTGGTTGTACATGTACCTCTGAGTTTTATGCCGCTAGGCAATCATCAGACAACTGATACTGGGATTCTACCCAGCAGTATGCTTATCAACACATAGGACCACAGGCATAAACAAATTAACAGTCAATATAGCAATAGTCACGTTCTTACACATGAGCATCACCGATCACACCAGGGGCAGTCCGCCATAGGTCCCTGAACACACCAGCATCACCGAGTCTAGCTGTTAGCCATGCATGCATGCCTGCTGTAGTGTAGAGCAATGAGGCAAATCTTTTGCTGCCCAACAACCCCCTCCCATCCTGCCACTCCTTTAGGCTTTACCCAGCAGGCCAGGCCAGGCCAGGCCACGCCAGGCCAGGCCAGGCCAGGTAGAGTCCACAAATGTCATTCTATTCTCGTTCTTTCAGGTACATGTGTAGCAAGAAGGAGCCACGGGTGTGTGTGTGTGTGTGTGTGTGTGTGTGTGTGTGTGCGTGTGCGTGCGCGTGCGCGTGCGTGCGTGCGTGTGTGTGTGTCCCATATGGTGCAGTGGTATGTGCAGCGATTTCCAATCAATAGGGTGCGGGTTCGATTCCCGGCGGTTATGGTCACACACGTCTTCCTTCTCTTTCTCAGACTCCTCCTGACTTTTCTTTCATTCTCCTGGGTGGTTACCAACAGCCAGTGCATGCCGGAGTATGTGGTGTGATGCGTGTGTGTGAAAAAAATGAAAAAGACCAAAAAGTAGGGATTCACTGGCCAGAAAAAGCCACTTCATAGCTGTGTGGTGTAGACCAGGCTGAATAGTGGCGGTCAATTCTTCAGCCTTGCGAGCTGTTGAATGGTGCAATCCCAGCACAAGCTGCTATGGCTTCTGCTGTAGCATCGCTATCATCGCCTCCGGCGATGGGCGTCCAATGGTCCAATGGTGTGTGTGTGTGTGATCCCCGGTTGCCTAATCGGTAGGGCACTGTCCCGGAAAGGCAGGGGAGGAGGGGTGGTGGGTTCGAATCCCGCTCGTGGATCCTTCTTTTGCTACACATGTATTTTCACACATTGTCCGATTGGAGCTGCAGGCTCTTATCCAGCTGTGTTGTGTGGTTGAATTTCTTATTTTCTAACTAACGTATGGTTACGAAGTCTGAAGAAAATGTTGAACGGTCTCTGCTGGGATGGCAGCTACACCATAGCTCAGTGGTTAGAGCATCGCTGGCTACAAGCGAGGGTCCCTGGTTTGAGTCCTGGTGGTGACAGTCAAATTTTTCTTCAGACTTTTCCCGTTTGCATCTTTCCCTTTCAAACCTGTGCTGTATGGTTGTGTGTATTTGAATTGTATTGTCATGGTACTGTGCTGTAGACCATCTTCAAGAGCGGCGACGATCTCAGACAAGATCAGCTTATACTGCAGATGATCACTCTCATGGACAAGGTCTGTTTTTTGCACTGCTGTTGTCCTACTACGAACTGTCTGCACTCCACTGTGCCTCCACACTGTTGTGTGACTATGAACTGTTAAAAAGCGTGATATTGTAAATACTGTAATTTCACAATTTTTCGGTGTACTTTTATTTTCGGTACTTTCGGTGCATCTGTTTCATACCTAAAATTTCAATACACCGAACAAACAATAACACGTATAATCCAATGGGGAACTGCTTCTCTGTACCGAAAATTTCAGTTCACCTAACCTTGCCTTTTGCTCTCATACCGAAAATATTGAGCACCGAAAATTTCTGAAATTAGAGTATCCAAATTTCGGCAGGTATTTAATTTTGGCTTTATTCGGCATCGACCCAAAACGCTGAAATTGAAAATGTTCACATCGGCTTTGATATCAACTCCGTGCCGGAAATAAATCGCTGCTGAAATGTCGAAAATCGTGAAATGCTGAATTTTTGCAGCACCGAATTTTGTAAATTTACAGTATAATTATGTCTGCTGCTGCTGCCGCCGCCGCTGCCACTGCTGCTGCTGCCGCCGCCGCTGCCACTGCTGCTGCTGCCGCTGCCACTGCTGCTGCCGCCGCTGCCACTGCTGCTGCTGCCGCCACCGCTGCCACTGCTGCTGCTGCCGCCGCTGCCACTGCTGCTGCTGCCGCCGCCGCTGCCACTGCTGCTGCTGCCGCCGCCGCTGCCACTGCTGCTGCTGCCGCCGCCGCTGCCACTGCTGCTGCTGCCGCCGCCGCCGCTGCCACTGCTGCTGCTGCCGCCGCCGCTGCCACTGCTGCTGCTGCCGCCGCCGCTGCCACTGCTGCTGCTGCCGCCGCCGCTGCCACTGCTGCTGCTGCCGCCGCCGCTGCCACTGCTGCTGCTGCCGCCGCCGCTGCCACTGCTGCTGCTGCCGCCGCCGCTGCCACTGCTGCTGCTGCCGCCGCCGCTGCCACTGCTGCTGCTGCCGCCGCCGCTGCCACTGCTGCTGCCGCCGCCGCCGCTGCCACTGCTGCTGCTCTCGAGCTACACTGTGCATGTAAACCTGAAGATGTTTGCACTGGAAGGCATTGCCATTGGTTCAGTACAGGTTGTGAACGACGATGCAAACTATCTGTGTACGTGTGTGCGCGCGCGCGAGTGTGACGCGTACATGCATGTATACCGGTACGTACGAGTATGTTTGTGTGCATGTGTGTTTGTGCCTGTGTGCATGTGTGTTGCGGAATTCGATTCGATTATTATTTACGCGCATTGTGCTATTATGGTTCTAGTCGTGTTGAGTCCGATGTCTGATGCCAAAATTATAATTGTATGGTCTAAGTTAGTGTACGTGTGAGTATGGCAGTTGTTGTGTGGCGGGAGCCAGGCGGAGAAGGTGATAACGCTGCTAAGGGTGTTTGTGTGTGTGTTTGTGCGTATCTGTGTCCCTTCCACAGCTGTTGCAAAGAGACATGATTGATTTAAAGCTGACCCCATACCTCTGTATAGCCACCAGCCCCAATCAAGGTTAGTGTGTGTTTAAACTCTCCCACAGTGTACAGAAAAAGCCTGATGACAGAGTTGCTTTCGAACTGGACAGGCTGTACACAAACTAGCAGTTCTGCTGTCGGGAGCGAGTCAAGGTTTAAGCCGTACTGTCTACTCGAATTCTATTTTCCTCGCTGTGTTGTCATGGGCAAAGGGACCCACCGGGCAAGCCAGTGTGACTGATCCCATTGGTAATGGCCGGAATGCAAGCGCAGAGAGGCTGAGGCAGTTCAATGTCCGTGCTTTCGATAGAGCATTACGGTAGAGTGTTATCATTGCAAGCAATGAAGATTTCTCTTTGCCATTTGCTCCAGGGGAGCAGAAGGCTCTGGCTGGAAAGTAATGATGAACCATGGTTATCACTCCCAATGGCTTGTGTCGTGTGGGCGGATAGTGTGGATGCAATTTCCGAAACAAGGAGTTTCGTGCGCACAAGAGCGATTGCTCACGGTTTTTACTAATTGGAGCTTGGAATTCAGTACAATGGTTCTTATAAGTGTAGCAGCCCGGCTAGCTCAGTCGGTAGAGCATGAGACTCTTAATCTCAGGGTCGTGGGTTCGAGCCCCACGTTGGGCGCTTTCTTTTTTTCTCTGTGAGCGAGTGCGGCACTAGTACGGACTGAATATGGCACATGCAGTACATGAAGCGAAAATTAGCAGTCGACCTCGAAAGGAATTTTTTTGTGAAAAGCCAACTTACGGCTTTGAACGGAAATTTCTTCTACAATCGTATATCCTTTTTTTAAAGCCCGATTAGTTGAAATCCCTGTACTGTACAATCCGTGAATATTGGGCACACATACCAGTACTTCCGTTCCGGCCAGAATTTGAAACGCATCATGAGACTGGTGCATTCAAACACCACAGGGCAGTGTGTGCTTGTCCTCCGCACTGTGAAGATGAAACTGCTACAGTCCATTTCAAAACTATAGATGCGTACCTAGGCAAAAACCGTTATGCCAGCATCTATACCACATAAAATCTGTGATCACTTTGTGCATAAATTTTTCCAAATTGGGCGTCTGTTATCCAATCGTTTAGAAACTATATGAGAGTAATTGTGGAGCGATCCTGAGCAATATTCCGAAAACTATTCTCAAAAAGTTCCAGCCAGATTTGAAATATTTCAAAAACCCTACGCGTCTATAGTTTTGAAATGGACTGTAAGTGTTCTTTTAAAGGCAATACACTGTGGAGCTGGCTGAATGGGCCGATATTAGAATGAGACAGTATCACGCGTTTTCATGCTTTTTTTGCAAGAGTACGTAAATCCTCGAGTGTGACAGGTACCTGGCACGACGTGCTTTCAGAACTACATGTGCACCATTTCAGTTCCGTCATGTATCCTGATCTAGGGTGCATTTGAGGTGTGAGGCTGGTCGCGCACGGTGTAGTTTTGTGCACAGTCGAGTGAATGAATTCCATCAGGAAAAAGGAGAGTGCAGACAACAATCTCCTCGCTGTTATGTAGAAGTTTGAGGTTCCATTTGATGATTCTTATAAGTGTAGCAGCCCGGCTAGCTCAGTCGGTAGAGCATGAGACTCTTAATCTCAGGGTCGTGGGTTCGAGCCCCACATTGGGCACTTTCTTTTTTTCTCCCTGTATCATAACGTCGAAACTCAACGTCCGTGAAGTTCATAACCAGAGAAATTAGAGAATGCTGCATGCCAAGGTTCCGAAGGCCAGACTTAGACTTTGCGCAGAGGTCGGTGAGATGTTTTTGCTGTGCCGGATGGGCTGGGTACATATTTACATCAAAGTCTCGAACAGTGTCGCGGAAGAAGACTAAAGAGCAGCCTGTACAATATCCGCTTCTGAACCTGCCCAAAAGGACACTCTCCAGTTTCAGCAGCTTTCATTTGGGTTTCAACTGGCTGCGTCAATGCAGTGATTGCGGAAAACTCGGCGGCACGAGTGGGGCCATCCGCCATGTTGGCGAGTTCAAATGCAAAATAAAACTACAGTGGCAGTTTGGAAAAGGAAGCAAAGTCTACGATCCGTGCGAAACACAACCAGGTGCAAACACAGGATTCCTAGTGCAAGTATACTAGAAGCACGCTCACTACGCCTTGTTATGTTCACAGCCACCCAAAGACAAGTCGAGCAGGAGAAACATATGATTACTTTCAGAGATGGGAAAGGAAAGTTCAATCGACCAGGAAAACATCATGGTCAAGAGACAAGAGAACTGAGTGCAACATGTACGGTACGGGATCACACGTGACCTAGTCATGATATCATGACATAACAGTGTGCTCCAACTCCGAACCGCTGTACGTACGTTGTCCCAAAGACCCAACCCTCCAGCAACAGGGGCAAAGCAAAACTATAAACTTGTCAAGAAAGCAGCACAGCAGGAAGAAGTGTCGGCGGCACTGGCAGCACGAGCGCTCAGGCGTAGCCGTACGACGCCATTTTGCACCATTGCAACCACTGCTGGGCAATGAGTGTATGGACTTATTTTACTACTGTGTGTGCATATACATGGCGTATACACGGTGTCAGAGACTCCATAATCCCCCAGAGTGTGCAACTGGGATAGGGTTGTGGGACGGCATGATCCGTGATGTACGTCATTGTTTGGGTCGGACTTGCATCATTCCGTCGACGTTGCGAGACCCAGACACACTTCCCCTACTCATGATGTCACACTATGACGTGCAACACGGATTTTGCCGTCCCAGATATCATCAGTGAAGTTGCACACTCTGGGGGATTATGGACTATTGACGGTGGATAGAGTTTGAGGTTCGCTCTGACGAGTCACATATGTGTAGCAGCCCGGCTAGCTCAGTCGGTAGAGCATGAGACTCTTAATCTCAGGGTCGTGGGTTCGAGCCCCACGTTGGGCGCTTTCTTTTTCTCCCTCTGCTATCAGTCAAGCTTACAACATAAACCAGATTGTGCAACTCATGTCATACAAAGCAAACACCCTCCAAGCGTGCACAGCAACTAACTTCCTGTCTACATTTATTATTGGCTCAACATCCGAGTTTCAAGTTAGAAATCCGCCTCTCTTCCTGTATCACCATGCCTTTTCTTTTTTAGCATAACGTATCCTTGTCCCATTCCCGGTAGTGTTTAGGAGCAAGTTTACGTGACTGACTGTACGTTTGTGTGGGCGATGCTGTCGATGTTGTTTTGGCTCTTTGTCCAGGTTTTGTCCAGTTCATTGATTCTGAACCCGTGGCTCAGGTCCTGGCCACGCACAGCAGCATTCAGGTACGTTTTTGATAGCATGGGTGTGTGTTGTGCAGGGGGGGGGGGAGGTTTCAAACAGTGTGTTATTCCAGAATGGATTTTCGTTTTCCAATCATCCTCTTTTTTCCGGTCTTGTGTTCAGGCTTACTTCAAGAGCGTGGCACCGTGTGAAGTGTCAGCATCCAACCCACTAGGTATACAGCCGGATGTCATGGAGACGTACGTGCGGAGCTGCGGTAAGTCCACTGGAGGCACCTTCGCCTTGGCCGACTTTCGCCAACAAGACACTTCTTTTCTCCTGCGTTTTTGAATGTCCGCTGACGTATCTTTACCGGCGCGTCTGTTTTGCATTGGACTGACATCCACATCTTCACGCACGCTGCAGGGTGCAACAGAGTGGGGGATTCTGTTGTTGTTGATTTCTACTTTTCCAGAGATCATTGGTTTAGGACAGAGATGGGCTTTATGGCTTTGGGAAACGTTCACAGCTTGGGAAAAGTACCTTGTGTGCGCTGAGTTTTGCAACCTCGGTGTGGCAGTCGCATTTGTTTATTTCGAATGGAGGAATATTTTGAAGAAATATTTTCTATTAAAAACCAGAAATGAATTTATTATGTACTTCAGAAGCAAAAAAAAGAGTAAGTTTCCCATGAAGTAAAGTCCCCCAAGTTCCCAGCATGAAGCCACATCAGTGAATGCCTTGTGCGTATACTCCGTTGTATGTCATAACTCAAGGGGTACTGGAAAACTTGAAGTAGAATAGAAAAAAAGGACCGCTATGAATCCACCCAGCACTGGGGCCAGCTGTTGCATGTCTAGTCACACTCGTGTTTGCCTACTACTGTAGTACTCTTGGTTGCACTGACACTGTCATCTAGCCTAGGTCAGCTGGCATTAAGTATCCAAGCATTGGTGGTTCAGTGGTAGAATCCTCGCCTGCCACGCGGGGGGCCCGGGTTCGATTCCCGGCCAATGCATTTTTTCTTTTCTTTTTTTGTTCTCCCGGAACAGCTTGCAAGAGAAAGTCAATTTCTTTTGAAAGTCTTGGCCAGAGCTTCTAGTTTACAGTGTTTGTCCAGCTTTCTCCGTCTATATACGGAGCAAACGGGATGCTTAGACATTTCTTTTCAAGGTTCATGTGATATCCGGTGCACTTCGCAGGGAGTATGTTCGTCAGATCCGTGTCAGCACGTCATGACGATGTTGAGAAGCACTGCAGCTAGCCTTGGCTTCTAACGACCACCACTATGCCTTTAGGCCCAGCGGATGAATGCGGACCTCGCGAGGGAGGCACGGGGAGAGAGATCGGATGTTCTCTCAAGTACCAAGCACGCAGGCATGCGATAGCTCAAAACTCCTGACTAAGCCTTCAAAGAGCAGGTCATACCGCCAGTTTTCCAAATGTTCTGTTTTCCCTCCTACAATGCCACTCGTCTGCACAGGGATTAAAAAAATATATATTTGTGGTGATATTGTCGCCTCTGTGCGAGATTGCCTTACACTGTAGGAACAATTTCCTTGGAGACAAGAATGCAATGAAGTAGGACACACTTCAGGCTCTTGAACATTAAGAAAGTTTTCAATAGTATACGTTCATGCCTTATCCTGTAGGATCATGTGAACTTTGTGACAAAGCTCTATCGATAAGACCAGGGAGACGAGACATGGCAATCAGCCATGCCTTGGCACACTTGCAGCAGTTAATCATGAGTTACTGGCTGTGCATGCTGTGCGATAGGATGGCTACATGTTCATTCATTCAGACGTTTTTTTAAGGATTCTCCAAAAGTAAATGGATACTTATCAAGGGAGTTTCCTGGAAGTGTGGATGGGATGAAAGGGAAGTGAAATGGGGTCAAGGGACTTAGCATGTGGGAGTAGTACCTAGTACCAAGAGTACATGAAAACCAGAGTGTGCAGCTCGGATGGGTGGTATGGCTGTCACGGCGGAATTCCGTGATTACATCATTTTAGTGATGTAGTGCGTACAAGCAGGATTCAAGCAGGTCTCTTTCTGCACAACTGCAGCTCAGTTGTACGCACTACGCCATTCCCCGCCTCAGATCTGCGCCAAATATGATGTAATCACGGAATTTCGCCGTGACAGACACCCATAGCAGAAAAGGCCCCAAGCTGCACACTCTGGTTTTCATGTACTCTTGCTAGCACTGCATGATTGTACATGTACGTGGTGTGTAACAGTTGCAATCGACTTTAAAAACAAGCGGAGCTATTCTGAACGTGTTGTTTTACTTCATACTGCTAATACCCCGATCCTTCGTGTTCCCAACAGCCCACAGCTGCCGTAGTATCTCCTCGTTGGATGACTTCCAAGGCCTTCTTGCCTCCTTATCTTCTCTGTTGTCTGCATGCTTATGTCACAAGCAGCCCGGCTAGCTCAGTCGGTAGAGCATGAGACTCTTAATCTCAGGGTCGTGGGTTCGAGCCCCACGTTGGGCGCTTTCTTTTTTTGTACATGCTTTTTTCAACTTGTTGTCTGATCGTGCTGGTTCATGCGGTATGTGCATGTGTTTGTGCGTACGTGCGTGCATGTACATCTGTGTGTGCACGTGCATCATTTTTTGTAAATGCTTTTTTTCAACTTTTTGGCTGATCGTGCTGGTTCATGCGGTATGTGCATGTGTGTGTGTGTGCGTACGTGCATGCGTACGTCTGTGTGTGCACGTGCATCATGGTGCTTTTTGCTTGTGTGCAGCCGGCTACTGTGTGATCACGTACCTGCTGGGCATTGGTGATCGGCATCTCGACAACCTGCTGCTCACTCCGTCTGGTAAGAACCGTTCTTGCACTGTGTTTGTTACAGACCCCCTGGAACAGACGTTCTGTTTGTTTCAACTGAGTAGACTGTTGCGGCATGGGTATTTGCAGAAAAATAACCCGACTGCTCTCTGTGTGGACGACTCCTAGAGTGTCCCATGCCCGAAACTACTACATAACGCCGAACGTTGCAAATATGCAACTAAACAAGCAATGAAGCCAGCAACCAAACCTGCCCACGAACCTGCCCACGAACCTGCCCACGATCCTGCCCACGATCCTGCCCACGAATGCCCACGTGACATGTAACAATGTCATGTATAGTCTGTGGCCAGCTAGTAGCCTCACCTTGTTACTTGCAGGGATCCGTGCATGTCTTGTGCATGGTTTGGTCGCCCAGTGCAATGCGATGTGTAATGGCAGGGCTACGGACACCCTACTCACAGAATGCCCATAGCTTTCAGTGACCTCTCTCTTTACTTTCACCCACACACTCTACACCACCATGTACACACGCGCAACAAACACAACTTTCTCTTTGGCTTTAGCTCCCGCTTGTCGGCTGATACTAGTAACATTTAGTGCCCTCTCCCTTCGTGTTGTAGGATAGTTGAGTCCATGTTGTTTGTACCATGACACGCACACCTTCACTTCCGTGCAAATCGTACCAGGCCCACGGACCACCGGTACGCGGTGGCTCTACCGCATGAACTCCTGATACCTATTGGCTACTCCCTCCGCCACTGCATTTACTGGACCTTTTCCGTGTTGCATTAACCACTTGATGTTGACTTTAGCCTACTTCAGTACTACTCAGTGAAATCCAATCAAGCGAGAGTCAATGCCACGCCGGGCGCTGTGCAGCACTGCTCTACTGTTGGCGCCGAAAAGCGTAGCGCCGAAGAACAAACAGGCTGGAATCTCACCGAGCATAGCGTACCAATGTATACACGGTGACTCAACTGTGCATTTTCCATAGTAATACATACTAGGAACGGCCAAGGCTACCAGGCTGACCCCTCTCAGTCTCAGTGCTTCAACACCCGGCACTACTGTAGACATGTGAACACTGGGGTGTGACTGACGGGTGGATTTGGATTGGTTTATTTAATGTCGAAGAACAAACAGGCAAGGCAGTGTTGCCTAGCTTGCCTTATTACATGAGATCCACGAAAAGGTGCAGGGCGCAAACTTGACTTACGGCGATCGGACTTTACTGAGCAGCACAGTCTGTAGATTGCCTGCTCAGTGCTGGTATCCACCAGTGGTGCGTCTGCTCGCCTGCGTGTCTGCACGGTCTACTTGCCAGTTCAGAACTGCTTACAAGCTCATCAATACCATGTGAGTCAGGATGGCCGAGTGGTCTAAGGCGCTGCGTTCAGGTCGCAGTCTACTTCTGTAGGCGTGGGTTCGAATCCCACTTCTGACATCTAATGTTTTTTTTCTTTTTCTTTTTCTCATCCGCAATCAACAGCATGTCGTTCCTTTCTGGTTTGTTTTTTCTTCCGCTCTTTCTTCTCAGGTCATATGTTCCACATTGATTTTGGCTTCATTCTGGGCCGTGATCCTAAGCCGTTTCCACCGCCGATGAAGCTGAATAAGGAGATGGTGGAGGGCATGGGTGGACATGGCAGTGCAGAGTACCACAGGTTCCGTCGCCACTGCTACCAAGCCTTCCTCACACTGCGCCGGTACGTTGAGTGATTGGCGAGTGACCACCGGTGTGCTGTGGCTGTGCTGTGCTGTGCTGTGTGCTGTGCTGTGCTGTGCTGTGTGCTGTGCTGTTTGGTAGGTGGGTGGGTGTTCAATGCATGCCCAGTGTGGGTGGGTGTTCAATGCATGCCCAGTGTGGTGGGTGTTCAATGCATGCAGTGTGGGTGGGTGTTCAATGCATGCCCCAGTGTGGGTGGGTGTTCAATGCATGCCCAGTGTGGTGGGTGTTCAATGCATGCCCAGTGTGGGTGGGTGTTCAATGCATGCCCAGTGTAGGTGGGTGTTCAATGCATGCCCCAGTGTGGGTGGGTGTTCAATGCATGCAGTGTGGGTGGGTGTTCAATGCATGCCCCAGTGTAGGTGGGTGTTCAATGCATGCCCCAGTGTGGGTGGGTGTTCAATGCATGCAGTGTGGGTGGGTGTTCAATGCATGCCCCAGTGTGGGTGGGTGTTCAATGCATGCCCAGTGTAGGTGGGTGTTCAATGCATGCCCAGTGTAGGTGGGTGTTCAATGCATGGCCAGTGTGGCATGGTGCCTAGCTCAGACCAGCAGACGTAGAATGTTTAAGGTGCTTGTCCGGAGTATTGTTGCACTTGGTTCCCTGTAAAATCATAATTGCGGGGTTTGTTATTGCTTGTATTATTTTACGAGAAACCACGAACCTCGAGAACAGGACACTGTATGATCGAGTTGGCTGCAGACGCAACTGTGGTGGTGAAACTGGAGCATCTCCGCCGACCTATGACTATGTCCCTAGTACTATGATGGCTTTGTTCTGTGTGCTTGGTTTCAGAGAGGCCAACTTAATCTTGAACCTGTGGGAAGTGATGACGGAAGCAAACATTGCCGACATTGCCCAAGAGCCAGACAAGACTGTGCAGAAGGTACAGTAGCATGCTGTGAAATTCTCCGTGTGTACATCTGTGCAGGGCAACTGTGCTATTCGGGGATCAATGGAGTTTTTTTTTCACTAGTTTGAGGGAAAGACGCAAACGGCAAAAGTCTGAAGAAAAAATTGACTGTCACCACCAGGACACGAACCAGGGACCCTCACTTGTAGCCAGCGATGCTCTAACCACTGAGCTATGGTGTAGTCGTCATCTCAGCAGAGGCCGTTCAACATTTTCTTCAGACTTGGAGTGGAGTGTTTGCCGCACATTCTCGCACTGCTGGTGACTGTGTCACAGTCGGAATATGTCACACCCAGAATGTGTCACAGTCGTCTCTGTACTCTAAGTTGGCGGTTGTTTGTAGGGTTGCTGCGTGACGTGCACTCACCAAGTACCTACACTGACTGCTATCTTGCTATCCCATGTGTCTGCTAGTGCAGTACAGTCAGACCTCGCTTATCCGGTCCTCTTTTATCCGGATCCCTCGCCATCCGCAAGAAAATAGCTGGTTACAGATTTACAGCATACGTGATGCATCCAACTTAACCTGTGTTCGGTTATCCAGTTCCCTTGCCTATCCGGATATTTTTTTGTGGAAAACGGATGTGTGCGGTTAAGCGAGGTCTCACTGTACACTGTACAGCTGCCAGGGCTGCGGGCACTCTCCTTGTCCAACCTGTTCTCCCGGGTTTGAGCTTTGGATGACAAACTCCCCGTCCCGGCAGCTACTTGGTACAGTCGTGTTGGCAACATGCTTCACCCATATCAGCTCTAGGGGCGCTACTGCTCGGGAAATGCACCATCTTTGCCCAATTTAGACCTCCTGTAATCGGAACTGTGGCAGGCGAGTCCACAAACCCACTGGGCCGTGCTAGGACAAGGCTGAGATGCTGTATGAGAGGGTAGGGTAGGGTAGGGTAGGGTAGGGTAGGGTAGGGTAGGGTAGGGTAGGGTAGGGTAGGGTAGGGTAGGGTAGGGTAGGGTAGGGTAGGGTAGGGTAGGGTAGGGTGTGTCTTTGGGAAATTGCCAATGCAGCAGCGTGTACACTAACAGAGAAAGTGTTTTGTTGACTGACTTGTGTAGCGGGTATGATGCAGGACTGGTGGAAGCAGTTTTTGATTTTGATGGGTCCAGCCATACCACAGTCGGCTATGGTTTGTGTGTGATATGGCGGGTACACATGGCCCCCTCGGCGGGTACACATGACCCCCTCGGCGGGTATCACCCGTAGGTAGTCAAAGAGTTGGTGCGGTCATGGCCTGCCCGACCGGGACTGATTCCACCACTGCCGCCACTGTGATGACATGCCTTTCTAACTCCTTCTCTCTGCTCCTCTCTTGTTTGTGTGTGTGCGTGCATGTATGTGTGTGTGTGTTCGTGTGTGTGTGTGTGTGTTCGTGTGTGTGTGTGTGTGTGTGTGTGTTCGTGTGTGTGTGTGCGCGCGTGCGTGTGTGCGTGCGTGTGTGCGTGTGTGTGCGTGTGTGTGTATCTGTGTGTGTGTATGTGTACATGTATGTTTGCATGTATGTGTGTGTGTGTGTGTGTGTGTGTGTGTGTGTGTATGTGTGTGTGTGTGTGTACGTGCATGCGTGTGTGTGTACGTGCATGCGTGTGTGTCCGTGTGCGCTTGACTACATGGCACTGTACAGGTACAAGACAAGTTCTGTCTGGACATGAGCGAGGAGGAAGCCGTCAAGTTCTTCCAGCAGCTGATCGACGACAGTGTCAGCGCACTGTTTGCAGTCATGGTCGAGCAGATCCACAAGTGGGCACAGGTGAGTGCACTCTGAGCACACACACTGAGCATCCCTGCATGCCTACGATCGAGTTGTGCTGAGCGTAGGTCCCTTCATTATACATTTATACACATGTCTTGTCTTGATTATCCAGGACCACGTGTATATCCTCCTTGCATGCCAATGATGAAGTTGTGCTGAGCAGATATCCCTTCACTATGCATGTACACGGACAGTCAACTTCGCGAATAACAACATTGGGTATACAAATAACTTGCGAGTAGCGAAACGATCTTTTTCAGACCTAGTGAACAGTTGAGTGCATACTCTCAACGTCGCGAATAACAACGCTTTTCTCATGCACGACTGGAGGGTCGTTATGCGCAAGTTTGACTGTACAATGCTATATTTTTGTCTTGGTTATCCAGGACCATGTGACTAGCATCCTGGCATTTATGCCATACAGTGTCCGGGGGTTCGGAGCAGAATCCGAGCAGGTTTTGAGTAGACCCTTTAGCTGTTCCTGGGCCGAAACTGAGCAGTATCGGTAGACAGATTAGTGCTTGCCGGCATGCAGCTGAATCTGAGCTGATTCACACTTCCATGTTGTTCTGGGGTTTTGCTGTGTTGCCTCTGCAGATTCTAAGGAAATAGGCGACCGCGGTGTCTTCTATGCTGTCCTGCTGGTGCGTACTCTGTTGGGTTTTGTTTGTGGAGCGGTGGTATTGTGTCGATCCAAGGCGTACTGTTTTTCTGTCAGTTTGTGTTTTGGTGTTGTTGTTGGTGTTGATGTGGCTATTGACTACGTTCCCCGCCGTGTGCTCTGTCTTGAAGTCTCTGCCTGTGGACGTGGCTGTCATCGTCTTGTTGTCACGTACTCTCCACGTGCCGTGCTCCGCACGTCTCTCTGTGTGCTATGCCACACGCCTCTCCGCGTGCCCGGCTCCACTCAGCTCTCTGCGTGCTGTCCACTGTGTGCTATACCACACGCCTCTCTCTCCGTGCGTATGGTGGTGATTGCAGCGACAGCGGCGGCGTGGCGGTGACCACTGTCTTGCTCTCTCTCTCTCAGTGCCGTGCTGGCGTGTGTAGTGATTATGACCACTGGCCGCCATGGTCGCAATGCCGCCACTGCTGACGGGTGTGCCATGGCAGTGTGTTGAGTGATCATGCGCTGTTGCTTGTTGCCATGACATCCGTGGTTGCTTGTCGCCATGACATCCGTTGCTAGTCTAATTAATAGTGTCCTCACAACCGTGTGCAGCAACTAGTCTGTGTCACACACCAGTGCAGGGTAGACTTGGTGTGCGTGTTGGCTTCTGTCACCGATAGGAGTTATTCACTTTGCCTCGAAAGGAGTACGGAAGAGACTTGGACTCTGGCAAAAAAAAATGTACAAAGCTGTTGTAAATATCTCGTGTAAATGATTTACTTTCCGACTCTGACAAGGTGCTTGTGATGTCCGGTCGGATACGGTAGTTCTATTAAATATAATTTTCATCTTATTCACAGTTTACTCTACTACACTCCCCCTGCTTGTGCTATTCTGAATGCCTGCCGCGGGCACAGATGCAATGTCTACGTCTGCCTTTCGCCTCTGCACGCTGTAAGTACTGCGCTTCTCCTCTCTCTCTCTTTCTCTCTCTCTATCTCTCTCTCTATCTCTCTCTCTCTCTCTCCCTCTCTCTTCCTCTCTCTCTCTCTCTCTCTCTCTCTCTCTCTCTCTCTCTCTCTCTCTCTCTCTCTCTCTCCCTCTCTCTTCCTCTCTCTCTCTCTCTCTCTCTCTCTCTCTCTCTCTCTCTCTCTCTCTCTCTCTCTCTCTCTCTCTCTCTCTCTCTCTCTCTCTCTCTCTCTCTCTCTCTCTCTTCCTCTCTCCCTCAAAAACACATATTACATGTACATACAGACACACTTTCTGGACTTTCTGGATTGCTTCATAGCAATCCGTAGGTGCTGGATATATTGTGCTACTCCACCCTGCTGGTCCACCCTGCTGGTCCATGTGAATACACCTAACCATTCTGCCTGTACATTCGGAATTACGCTCTATTGTTTGTTTCTCGGTTGTCTTTGTTCGCTGCAATTGTTTTTACGAGCTGCCCCCTCCCCATATATTCTCTTATCCTATACAACTTCACAGCATTTCCGTTTCTGGCAAAATTTGGACACCTGCATTGCTGATCCTCCCCAGTGCTCGCATCTATTATGTTGTGCAGCAGGGCTTTTTTTCTTTTCTTTTTTTTTTTACGAACTTACCGGTATAAGATTTAATAACAGTCAGTCAAGTGTCGATCGAGTTCGCCAGGAAACGTTGGCCAATTGGGCATCCAACTTTGTCTACATTTTTTAAATTCATGAAAGCATGGTAGGGTTATCAAGTGTGCATGGATGCATGGATGCACAGCAACAGGCAGGGAATAATTTCCTTTCAATCTTTTGCATAGCACAAACGTGAATAGCAGTTCGAGAATGTTGCGTAGCTATTTTCTTCAACACTCGACAACATTGTCGTTCTGCAGAGCTGATCAGAGTGCAAGTTCAGATCACAAATACACTGTAACACCTTAGTTGCAAACCTAACCGGGTGCCAGGATGCATAGCTCAGCACGTTCACAGCTTCGTCCATCTATTTTATCCCTAAGAGACACACCTGGCTGTGGCAGGCACACTGTGCACAATAGGGTACAGTGAAAGATCAACGTGCATCGCAGTTTTCTGCGACACATTTCTGAAGTTGCTTCGCACATCAGAAGAATTGCGTAGCAAACTGCGATGCGATACGGGTTAAATTATTCCCTGCTGTCCCTGCTGGGCAATCCCCCCTCCCCACCGCTACTTCTAGTGCATATGGAATATGCGCTGCCTTGGTTGATATGCATGGTTAACGTCCGAGCTCATTTCACACACTGCCCAGCAAGCAGCAGCTTGCGGTGCAGCTGTCCAGTAAGTAAAGTGGTGGGATTGCTTCAAAGTTGCTGGCCAGGCTAGTATTCTGTGCTGTGCTCATGCAGGTATTCTTGTTTTGCATCTCCACCGCCCCCGACCATTCAGTGCCCTGGCTTTAGGGCTCATTGGGACATCGGCTGGGAGAGCTCACGGGGTGGGGAAGTATAGTGGGTAGCAATCAGTCACTCCTTCCATGGTACGTCCTCTGCATTGTACATGCATGTGCCGTACTGATTACTTTTTCATGCATGCCTCGTAACAGCCCCCCCCCCCCCCCCCTCTCTCTCCATATTAGACCCACACCTATACACTATGACAGCAGTCACGAGTAGCTCGTTCTCTGTCAGTATTAACTATTATAATCTTATGAGAGTCAGGTTAAATAAACGATGATTACATTTTCCAACAAACTACGAACTCTACAGTAGAGCAAAGCTCTGGGTCACGAGAAATGCAGCAGCTGGATTGAGTAGACAAAAATAGAATAACAAAAAAAAACAGACAAAACAAATCACACGCTCACTTGGAGCCTTTGAAACAGAACTTGACAACGACAAAGAATGACACGCCAACACCAACACGTGCACGCACGCACACACACACACACACACACACACACACACACACACACACACACACACACACCAAATACGGAAAGTTAAAAAAATAGTAACCCTATAAATAGTTAAATAAGATGATTAAGATGATTATATAAATACCAGCAGCAGCAGCAGCGGGAAAGGGGGACTTTGGAGATCTGCTGTTCCGAACGCAGCGCCAATCAAGGTCTCGGAACGGCCAACTAGAATATGATCAACAGCAAGCCATGTGATGCCTGACGCAAACATGCCATGTCAAGCGGTAGCGAAAATACTGCATGCACCTTCACGTTGGTTATTGAAACTTAGATCTCAAGAAACTATTTACAAATGGCTGGCTACATCCACCGACGACTACTAGTACATTTATTTTACCCACACATCTCATACATAGAATTCCTCTCCCGACCCGGTCCGTTTTTTCTGGGCAACTCCGCGCGCCGTGGCAATGGCGATTGCATTCTCGGCTTCTTCCAGCTCGTCTCCCTGCACCGTTTGCTCTTCGGATTCAGTTCCCTTCTTCGGCTGCCGCACGGGGAGGCTGTGGCGGCTGCGGTAGCAGATGACGGACACCAACACAAAGGTGAGCGCGATCATTGCGAGTGCTACACCGAGAACGACGTACAGCACTGAGGCGATGCTCAGCGAATCGCTGCTTTGTGGAACGGCGGCATCGTCAACCCCGCCGTCGGTGCTTTCGCTGGCAACGGGCGCTGCCGTTGGTGTTCCATTGCTCGGTGTAGTGCGTCTCCGCGTGGTGGTGGATGCCGCACTCGATGCTTCTCGGCTTGAAGCTAGTGGAGCAGTACTTGTCGGTACACTCTCAGTGTACTTAGAACAGTCCAGGTCAGCAGGTGGGTTGTCCAAGTTGACGAAGTCCTTGCACAGCACCTCTCGATCGTCAATGGTCGGCTCCTCTGTTGTGACGAGGACCGGTGCGTCCGTAGTATCGGCATTGCCACCACCAGCAATACCGTCATCCGTAGCCACCCGGATCTCCGGTGATGTCACCGTGTCGTTACTACTGCTGGCGGTGGTGGTGTTGGTGGTGTTGGATGGTGACGTCACCGCCCTCGGTGTCTCACCAGTGGGGCATGGTGCAGGCGTGTCGAGCGACGGCGGCAAGAACTGGTGACACGGTATGCTGCGTGTCGCCAGCACACACTCCAGCCACAGGTGGTCGGGATCGTGAGGCGGCGCCGACGACGGTGGCTGCGGTGGTTGCCGTGACAATGGCGCCCCAGTTGCCATGCCGACCGGACAAGGACGAGAGAGGTTCGCCACGCGGCCCCATTCATCTGCCACGTCTGCCGATCCATACGCATCATCGTCCTCGTCGTCGCTAATCTGCTGTTTCGGCAGCGAGAAGCTAAACGTGGTGCAGTTCGCCAGAATACTATTGATGGATGCACGCAGCTGCAGAGAGACACACACACATGACAAAATCAGATGAACTGTTAGACATGCTACTGTGTGACATGTGATTATACCGAGTCGCAAATTTTACGATTGTCCAACATTCATAGGTTATAAACGAGAAGAATTGTTAACGATCTTGCAGTATTCCGAGAAGAATTGTTAACGATCTTGCAGTATTCCGGCATATCCACACACAACATAATATGAAGAAGTGCGGCCTGAACGGATCGTATCATCACGAAGAAATGTCATCCGACACACGTGCGCGCACACACACACACACACACGCGCGCGCGCGCGCGCGCGCACACACACACACACACGCACGCATGCGCACGCACACACATACCCTCCCCCCCACACACACACACACCAGCATCACACATCACCTAGACGTACCGTTGCCGGACACGTCTCCCCGATCTGATCCAGGATGCGCTTGCCTGGTACGAACCGTCTTCTCTCCCACTCTTCTTGCTGGAAGTACGTGTGCGGCGGCGTGCACAACGGAGGCACGTCAACGTAAACAAAGAAAGTCAAAGTAGAGTAATACACCTTTGTGCCGTTCACGACAGTGGGGCGACGGTGGCATCGATGACGCTTGGCAAGCGACACTTCATACAGCCGACTTTGACCAGCGCCCACCACCAGGTTGAACAGTGATCGCTGGAGCTGCACGGGCACGAAGATCCGACTCAGAGCCAGCCGCGTGGTCCTGGAGCTGATATTCTCCGCCGCCAGGCACTCGGTCAGGTTGCAGTGCTCCAGTGTCATCTTGACAAACGCATTGCGCTGCGCCACTGTGTAGTCCACGGCTTGACTCACTGTTGACGGAGGCGGGGCGGGGGGCAACAGAGACGGGAGAAAAGGAAGGACATGTTGTAGGCACGGTAAGAGCAAGTGCATGCATGAGACCAAGACATCGTGATAGAGATACAGAGAAAGAGAGGTATTGAGGAGAGGAGATGGACAGAAAGAAAGAAAGAGAGTGCGTGTGTGTGTGTGTGTGTGTGTGTGTGTGTGTGTGTGTGTGTGTCTGTGTGTGCGTGTGTGTGTGTGAGGGAGAGATAGATAGATAGATAGAGAGAGAGAGAGAGAGAGAGAGAGAGAGAGTGTGTGTGTGTGTGTGTGTGTGTGTGTGTGTGTGTGTGTGTGTGTGTGTGTGTGTGTGTGTGTGTGTGTGTGACTTTTTCTGGCCAGCGAATCCCTATTTTTCATTCAATCAGCTGTGTGGTGGATACCAGGCTAAAAATAGTGGCGGTCAATTCATCAGCCTTGCAAGCTGTTGAATGGTGTAATCCCAGCACAAGTTGCTATGTCTAACATAGCTGTTCGCTATCATCGCTTCCGCGATGGGCAGGTCTGAGGTCTGAGGTGTGTGTGTGTGTGTGTGTGTGTGTGTGTGTGTGTGTGTGTGTGTGTGTGTGTGTGTGTGTGTGTGTGTGTGTGTGTGTGTGTGTGTGTGTGTGTGTGTGTGTGTGTGTGTGTGTGTGAGAGAGAGAGAGAGAGAGAGAGAGAGAGAGAGAGAGAGAGAGAGAGAGAGAGAGAGAGAGAGAGAGAGAGAGAGAGAGAGAGAGAGAGAGGGAGATTTTACAACAATTTATCAAGCCCTAGTTTCCACCCACGGCACTCTGTTTGATGCTCGGTAGTTCGCAGGTCCTGCTTCTATACAGCCAACGCCTGACTTCTGCACAAATTCCTTTATTCTTTCCATCGCATTGTTACAGTCCATTCATAAAAAGATGGGTCCTAGCTTTGGCGAGCTCCCGTATTTGGCGATTTTTCGTGATTTCATCGTACACAGTGCAGTGCTGCGAACTTTGAAATTTGAAAAAGGGTCCAAAAAGGGTGCCTGAACTGGGGTTCGAACCGCAGAATGCACTGTTGCAGGCGGGGTCAAACGGCCTGGATTTTGATGGTTTTCCCAATTCAGTGCTTTTGGGGCAAAACCTGGCCGAAATCCTATTCTTGCTATGGCTTGCTTTTTGGACAAAAAAACTTCAGAAACATAATTGGAAGAGGATTCCATATGGGATTGCAGAAAAAAATTCTAAAAAAACTCAACGTTTGACCCATTTATGGCCAAAAGCTAGAAGTTCATTTTTTTGAATGGACTGTAGTCGATGTGACCGGTGCGATTTACATCTGATGCAGATATTTTATCAAACTTGTTCAATATCACCGATATCTTCTGCTACCATCACTAGAGTAAATGCCCACCTGTGGGCTGTGACCTGTGGGCTGTGGCATTATTTTTCGGCAGAACGCTGAGACCCGTGAGGGAGGGAGGCATGTATCAGCTGCTGTTGCACGCAAACCGTCACGGTTTCGCCGAATAGCGCAGGTTCCGGCGCATAGAGACTGCACAGCGGGAAGGAGCCACCAGGGCGGCCCGATGAAGCCAGTGAGAGCGCACACAGCACGCCTAGTACAAACACACTCTACAGTTGAACATCGATTATCCGACCACCTCTGGGCAGACAACTGTCAGGCGGTGTTCAGATAAGGCAAATGTTCCGGATAAGAAAAAACTGTCACTCACACACTTTCAGTGGTTATTACTAGCCGCACGACCTTTTTACTTTTTACTTTTCAAAATTTTCGTATTTTTTGAATGGCTCACTACATGCACAGTGCGTACTCTACGGCACGTGCGCCCCAAAAAACTGTTACGGATAATCGAATGGTCGGATAGTCGATGTGCGGATAATCGATGTTCAACTGTACCAACATGTTTATTACTTATTACTTGCGAACATTGCTAGAGGTGTGTATCATGTATGTGATACGCTGGGAGGGGCAGACTGGATAACAGTCATGATTCACCAGCACCGAATTTCTAATGCAGCACCCCTGCCACAGCCCAGCTTCCACAAGCCATTCACAAAAAAATACAGAAGAAGTGGCGGTCTCTCAGCTGGTGTGGTTAGGTAGTTTTCTCCTCACAGAGTCACATGCACTCTTTCAAACGTCCAACTAAACAACTGACGCGCGCGACATGCACTCTTTCAAACTCCAAGCTAAACAGCTGGCGCGCAGGGCGCTAGGGCACGAAAATAATGCACCTGTGTCCGTGTACCTCTGATGTACTGAGTATCAGTACGCTACTACTAGTATCACTAGAATCAGGCAGTCTGCGATGCAATCTGCAGGGGCCGCATGCAAAACCTCGCACTGAGTCAGCTGATCACACGGAAGTTAGATAGCCTAGTTATCACCGGAGGCTACGGACATGTACCGAACTAACGCTACTTCAGCAAAACTCCTCTCTCTCTTCCTCTCTCTTGTCTAACACAGTACAATCGTCTTTGGAACTACTTTTCAGCTCGTCGCTTGCTCGAAGATTTATAGAACATTTCCCACGCGAGTTTTGGACTCCCCGAACTCCAGCTGGTTGAAACGAGTACCCGACACTTTCACAAGACAAGCACATGCATTGTTTTCACATCGCGGTTCAACTCTACGAAGTATGAATGATGAAGTAGTTGAGAGGAACTGTGCGCCACGGCTCACAAGCTTCATCTGGGGCCAAGTAGACTGAACCTAGCAAACTATCCCAACGTGGCCGCCCGCCGACTACTAGTACTAGCCTATGCACAACTTCAGTCGGCCTGGCGGTGCGAATCCATACATTACATCGTCATTCTTTCGCGCACATCCCCACGTTCAAGCAGGAACTCTGAGCTGAAACAGCGAAGCAGTCCGACTGGGTCAGTGGAATCCTGCACCTCCTGGCTGAACAATCATGCACGAACGGATCGCCGAGCAGGCAGGCAACAGCCAACAGATCACAGCGGAATCCATCTTCCGCAACAGCGAACAGCAGATGTCCCAGCTGAGCGATCGACGCTACAGCCCTACTGCCGTACCACTACTACCAGTGGCAGTGGCAAAACGCCACAAAACCTAATCAAGAAAGTCATCTGGCTTCCTGGCCTGGTCGCGATGTGCATGTTTGAGTCTTTGAGCTTTGCGGGCCAGAAAAACCCTGCATCACTCGTCCGACCAACGACTTGCAGTAATACCACCTAACCCCGTGTGCGCATAGAAAGAACCATTTCTTTGCCCGCAAGCAACAACACTTTACGGATCACTGAACGGACGCGTCCCATTGCTCAACGGCGCCTTGATCAATAGGAATCTCACGGCGCTCGGCGACAAAACTTATCCGCGCCAGTGATGCAACTCGCTTCAAGGACAACCCCGGCTCCATTGGGCGGCACAGCCCGGAGCTCCACACAGACACACAAGCTCGCTCATACACACACAATCAAGGGTGCAGAATGGGCACCTCGAACAGCGTGTCTACGGCGCCTGTCGCCTCTGAAAGAATGGTGAAAAAGAAGTGCAATAACGCAGCGCGACAACACAACACAAGCAAGCGAGCAAGAAAGGAAACGGGTCAGAGTTTCCCCCTCTTGCTCTTCTACTGCCTCACCTGGTAGGCCGTCTAGAGTGAGTCCTCCGTTAGCCACGGATGCCAGGCACAAGGACCAGAGCATGTACCACATGACGACTTTCCGACGCGCCGCTCTCAGGTCGTTCGCTCTGCTGTCGTCGAGTCCGGTAATCGCTCGTATCGTCCGCCACGGCGAGCCGGTAAAGAAGCCGATCGGCGAGGACGCTGATCTGCAACCCGCCATCTTGAATCTGGTGGCGCAGTGCACCGGAGACTCCTGCTGCGAAGGCCAGCTACTGTTCTGTGCGGGGGCGAATCGCTCCCAAATCAGCTCGGATAGCTCATGATCAACCTGTAGCAAAGGACCAAGAACGGAACGAGCAAGGCAGCAATGTTCAACGCAGGCCCTACCGCTGATGGTCGGCAAACAGGATAGTTCAGATTTCGGCAGCGAAAATCAACGAATTTTGTGACAGCTGATAGTGCTCGGTTCAGCGAGCCGCTTGCAACACTCACTCACCTCCGAAGTATGTCCAGAGAGTTCCTCTCTGCTCTACGTCCGTCCACGGACAGCTAGTGCGTGCGAAGAGGACGAGATGCAATCAGGAACAGCACTGCGAAGGCGATAACCTCTGACTCTGGCGCAACAAAAAGCGAACACTTTCGACCTTCTGCAGTGTAGCCACTGTAGGTCGCCTACTACAAAGTCTAGCTAGCGACTGTTGAGATTTCCCACCTAGTACCTATGCAGTACATGTGCTAGACGGTCGGTAGCAGCTTCTAGGCTGCACTGCACTGCACAGCCACACAGCCAATATGTACAGCCAGTATGCTGTTTGTGGTCGGTACACACAGGCGCTGCACATGCACACGAACGCAACGCATGCGTAATCTGAAAATGGGTGTTGGGTACCGGTCGGATCGGACCGTCCTGCATGCATACGTACATGCAGGACCCAACACCCATGCAGTGCCATGCACAGACTGACAGTTGATCCGAAACCAGATCATTCAGTGTAGACCATGGCCTGGTAGGGCTACAGTCAGTAGTACGCAGGAACCGGAGGAAGACCACGCACCTTCTACAACGTGCCAGCCTACGGCACAATCATGCATGCACATGTAGCCTAGACTATGAGCATGAGTATGACGGACGACTTTCCGTCTCCCAACACTGTCTCATGCATGCATGCAGCGCATCGAGCCAACGGCAAGCATACCGAGATGTCGGACTGGCAACATAAGCCTGCTACCGTGTGTGGTGCGTGCATGCGTGCATAGTGCACGACAGACCCGCGCGCCCTCCACTCCGAGTGTGAATGTCCGGCATGTACCACCAGTGCACCGGGCGCGTGGTAGGCAGCAAACTCGCACGTCCCTTGCACACTGTCATGTGCAACTCCTTCCCAACCCTGGCCCCGGCCCCGCGGGGGCACGGATTTGGCAAAAAGAGATCATGCCATACATTCGCGTGCGTGCGTGCAACGGCGAAGAAGAACACACTCGTGACAGGGGCGAGCATGCCAGCGACTTGTCTAGATCCCCTTTCCTGGCCCTCTCACGCATGCGGGTCGTGGACCGACCGTGCATGTGTGTTGGTGGCGGCAAGACATGGTTATTTCGTGAACCAAGCCATGCAACCACCCGCACTCGACCTACTACTAGTACTAGTCCCCTATGTCTACCTAGTCTGTGCTATCGCAGTGTAGTATCAGTTGTCTGCTGCGGTCCATAGGATCTAGGAGGGCTCTCCTGCACCGCTGGGCGGGATTAGCGAACGCGGCTGAAAGGGCCCCAGCACTCGTAGCCCCGAATACTTTACTACAGCCTGTAAGCCTGTCTGTTGCAGGTCGTTCACCAGATGCAGCCGGGCCGGGCGTCAGAACGGCTCGCACGTGTCATGCAGCTCCCGTGTGACAGCTTCTTGTCAAAGGTCGGCCTGCCAGGTGTTTTGTACTGGTGGAGGTATGATAGGAGGAGCGTGCTTTTGAATTATTTCTTTCTGAGGTTCTGTACTTCAGTTTGATCTGGTGAGAGGGATGGACTTCTAACGGATGAGAGAGAGAGAAAGCGAACACACCAGACAGCAGACATGTCCTGAACGTGTCACAAATACTCGGAAATTCCTTGCGAACGTCATCCGCACGTTGCGCGCCTGTCCTCGAGAAAGGGCTTCGGACGGTCGGTCGGTGTCCAGCACTTCAACACCTCTACGCTGTCTGCGGAGATGCAGTACATCCGCATCTTTGCTGCCAGTGCCCATGTGTATACCCCATCTTTGCTGCCAGTGCCCATGTGTATACCCCATCTTCGGCGTGAACAAATTGTAAAGTGTAAACCTAGACATAGTATTAGTTACTATTAGTATAACGTTTCAGCGAAGAAACGCTACGTATCCAAGGACTCCATTCTCTAACGCCCCCGTGTTGCATAGCTGCAGGAGTACATTCACTCTTGATAGCTGTGATAATGAATCCGACTAATGTGTAATCGAATACGTTCTCTGCCAAGCATTTGATGCACGTCCTCTTGTTATCAGATCCGACTCAGCAAAGATCATTCATGATTGCATTGTGACATCAAAACAGACTATGCCTGTCATGAAAAAACTGCGCCGGGGTTTGATGTGATGCAATGAGCAGTAAAACACCATCTTTTTACTTCTCCCTGCTGTGATGTCATGCGGATCTGCCCTTTCTTATGCCTACGTCTGGCCGCATGATCACTGACCTAGACTAGAGGCCTAGCACTTGGCGGATGACAGAACACTGGCGGGGGAGTTTGGTACTCTTCTCGTGTGTTTCGTGCATGTCTCGTATAGGGATAAAGAGGAGGAGCAACATTTGAGCTGAAGAAAATGTTGAACGGCCTCTGCTGGGATGACGACTACACCATAGCTCAGTGGTTAGAGCATCGCTGGCTACAAGCGAGGGTCCCTGGTTCGAGTCCTGGTGGTGGCAGTCAATTTTTTCTTCAGACTTTTCCCGTTTGTCTCTTTCCCTCAAACCAGTTAATATTTGAGGAATTGCCCGCCACGCGCTTCGTATGGTTCACATATTCATGGGTCAGCGTGATCGGTGCAGTGCATGTGATCGATGTATTCATGGTGGTCTCAGGTCTGTACGGAACGTAGCCAATCGTTGACTAGCTTGCCAAGTGCCATGCAGGAGGACTCCGCGGGAGTGGCATATGGTCATGATTGCGTTCTCACCTTCCTACCCACAGCGTGCATGCCGTTTTGCGGTGTCACGCTTCCAAACCATGCACGTCCTTACGTAAACTAGGAGCGACGCTTGTGTAAACGATTTGATTCTAATTATCACTTCCCGCTATACTGCACGCAGTGCGTGATAGAGAAGGTGTCCGGAATGGGGAAGTGTGTGTGTGTGTGTGTGTGTGTGTGTGTGTGTGTGTGTGTGTGTGTGTGTGTGTGTGTGTGTGTGTGTGTGTGTGTGTGTGTGTGTGTGTGTGTGTGTGTGTTGTGCTAATGAGAAAGGATTCCGGTCAGCAGCATAGACACTAGAACCACCTGTGCGCTGCACTGTCAGGTGGCCGTGCGTCTTGTACCGGATGCATGAGACACTTCCTGCCAGTTCCTGATAGTGATAGGCACACGCATACAATTTTAAACTGATCTAAACAGTGCAGCATAATTAAAACACCTTTCTTCTACTAGCTGTGCCTTCAGTACACTGATGTTGAAATCTGCGTTATTAGAGAGGTTAAGATGCACGTTATTTCCGACGTGACGCGCAATTTCACGTCAAATTTGGCGTAAAACTCCAAATTTCGACGTGAGCAGCAGGTCACTCGCGTTGATTTTTCGACGTGCGAGCCAAATAACGCGAGCTGAACTTTCGCGTCACGTCAGAAATAACGTGCATCTTAACCTCTCTATTCAAAGCGTTTCCACCTACACTACACTCTACGGCTGCTGCATAACTGTACACGTACTTCCACACTGACTAAATGTACATGACAGTGCAAGTACATCATGGATAACTACAGTCGTGGCCAAGGAAATCCGACCCACGCGGTCAAAACTCAAAAGCTGTTTTCATTTCAATAACGATGCACAGGCGAAAACCGATCTGAGGACTGCAGGGACCGCATGAGCCTTCGTGCTGCTTTCGGCTCACGGGTCGGATTTGTTCTGCCACGACTGGACTATTCTGTCCTGCTCTTTGAAGTGACTGTTGCAATCATGCAGGACTTCTCCTAACGTTGCCATGGACAGATTACTCGATCTCGGAAAGTTTACTAACAGTCGTGATCATCACTCAGACGCAAGGACGAGGTGCTCGTATGTGGGAGGTTCTTCTGTATACATGGCGGTGATGCATTGAAAGCGCGTCCGCTAGTCTAGCACAGCAAGCACATGCCTGCAGTGCTACTGCTAGCAAGTAAGCAAAGGTCAACGGTAGCGCCCAACGAGGCACATGGAGACGGTGATGTTCCAGCTCCTTCGTCGACAGTCGGCTGGCTTGCGCAAGATTGGTGCAACACATGCCATTGACCTGAATATCCAGATACCCCTGCTCAGGCTGTTGGCTACAGCTTGGCCTCTCGCTCTCTCGACATAACCAGTGTTCGGGCCCCTGCAATACCTAAGGCTTAGCAATGCGGCGCGTGCCTGCATCCTCGGCTAGCCTCTATAGATCTAGGCTGTACAGACTTCGCCAGGCAGAAATGCAAGGCGTGTGCATGCTGGCGGAGCGCACCAAATTTGGCCGTTGTCATGTTGGACATCCACCATGACAATTGACATCCAGCTCAAACATAATGCTGATCACGTGGACATGCAATCTAGATTTACACATACGTCTACACTGAAGCTAGTGCACCAGACTAATGAAGCTAAACATGATCGCTAGAATGCTGAGCGCAATGCAGTTGACATCATGTTATCTGGCGCTCCGTGGTCGTAGATCTACGGCAGTAGATCTAGGAATGATGAGCCTCAATCGCCATGCCCTGACAATCCAGGAATGTGTGGTCAGTCTGTCAGATCGGCAGATTTGGCCGCAGGTGTGAACCGCATGGCTGTCTCCTCCTGTGTGAGAGACCATAGCTTAGCGCCTACGGTAGCTTCTCACCTCCAACTCCAACGCAACGCATCATCCATCCCCTGGCGCATGCATGTCCTGTACCTTGCGTAGCCTGGGCCTTGCATAGCCTGTACTGGGCCTGGGCCTTGCGTAGCCTGGGCCTTGCGTAGCCTGAGCCTGGGCCTAGGCGCCTTGGCTGGCACACAATGGCAGTCAGGGACTGTCTGGGCCAACTGTTATGTGCAGCACTGACCGTCTTTGACTTTGGTCAATGAATCACCAGCTCGTATTAGCGACCAGTGGATCTACTCATTCTACTGGCAGTATAGACTACCTGTGACACAACGGCCAGTAGTGGCGGGTCTGGGGCTGCATACTAGTAGCGCCCTGACACTTGACGCCCGGATTTCAGATTTAATCATGCAAGCACTCGGGCATTGTTGTTCATGATCTGCGATTTGCTTGCGTGTGCACACACATCTAAGATGGGCTGAGCTCTCTTTAACGAAAGGGGGCCAGCTTTTGTTCCTTCCTAGGCACGACAGTGGACATTTTTTAGGAGTCACTTTGTGTGGTCGGAATGGAGGCAGATCGAGAAGCGAAACATCTCTGACGGTTTCCGAGTCTTGTTAACAGAAGCACCAGCTGGGTGCGGAAGTTCTTTTGTTACGTAGACCGTTACATGTATACCTGGTATACATCAGACATGACTTTGTAAGACACAAGGCAGAACAACAGATCAGAGACCAATGTGGCAATCTCTTTCTCGTGTCTCCGAGTTTCGCGTTCAAAAAACACTCATCAGCTGAAAAGAGACTGCGCTGAAGTACTACTAGTAGTAGATCTACCTGTAGGCTGACCGGAGACACCTCGATCAAGACTAGACAAGAGCTGGAACATGATCTTGTGCGGGATTGCACTGTCTGTGACTTTCTCCGACGACGACGGGTCTGCGTGCCCCCCCCCCCCCCCCCCCCCCCCCAGCCCTCCAGCGTGCAGGACTCAGTCAATCGTTGTCCCTGGTTACCAGAATCCTTCACACTGCACTACATTGTTGTTGGCATGGTGGTCGAGTGCCACACTACAGTACACTGTCACTGGCACAACCATCACGACAGAATGTAACGTAGAAAACATAACACCAAGGATTATACCTCACGTGTACGTGGTGTGCAGTCATTTTAGCTTGTCCCACATGCAATTATTGTTGGTTGGTTCGGCCTTTCAACTGCTCTCAACTGCCTTTGATATGCTGAGACCACGGGCGTTGGCCACATGCGCCATGCTTATGCAAGAAAACCGATGTTTTGTTCGTCACAGCATAGCATTAGCAGGCGAGAATAATAACAATTGTTTGCGCACGTAGCTGGATCTTTTCCGGGACAGAGCGCACAGGTGCATTCGACACTGACTTTAGGAACAGATACGGACTATGGACGTATCTAGGCATGATGACAGTACGAGTGGTGACACGTTGCCAACAGACTCTGGATACCTGCACCGGATGGCCGAAGGCTGGCGGGGACCGCACAATAGCCCACAGGCGAATCTTGCGTGTCAGCTAATCACAGCCGGTTCATCAGGAAAGTTCAAGCTGTTCCAGGGTAAGGCCGTATTTGCATGCAAGATATTCGCGTGTGGCCGCAGCCCTGAGCATGCACGTTTTTCTAGTTTGAGACGTCTGTGATCATGCTGCAAATCAGTTTCGTTTTGATTGGGACCATCCAGTTCTCTGACTTTGCGTGTACAGACCGCATCACTATCACTAGTACAATAGTATCATATCAGTCAGTGCAAATGACGTGCATTGCCGTCCTACAATGTACATGTAGCCTCCCCCCCCCCCCCCCCCCCCCCAGAGAGAACTGTTACTTGTGATAGCCTGCAGGAACTGTTCACGCACAGTCCTACCATGTATCGATGTACACAGGCGTACACTATGTTGCAGAGCAGAGGACGCACTGTGTTGAAAACAGTGCTCCTGACTACACTTTACAACCATCATCAGTTGGCAGAGCCCCCCCCCCCCCCCCCCCCCGCACACACACACACACACACCCGATGATGGTTGTTGTCAGGATCCTCAGGAGCACTGTTTTTCAACACAATGCGTCCTCCGCCTTGTAACATGCTGTCAATCAATCAACATGTTATTCAGCCAAACAAACCTTACCTACTACTTATCAGTTAAATTGTAGTTTGAGCACGGCTCCGAGTGGCGCTAGAGCGACGAGCCATCTTTCAATATCTGTGGTACCTCCTTTACACCATGGCTGGTAGCTCGGCCTATTTAGCTTGTAGCTGTACTGATGAGGCCTTTATGGCCGAAACAGCTTGCTGTTTACTGCATTTGGGTATTTATAAGCTATAAATAATATCTTATTGGCAACGAATAATACATGCTTGATGAGTCAAGTCTAGAACAATGTAGATTAGATTGAAGTTTTGAATGTCTTGCCTGTGCATCTTTTTGACTCAGCTCTGGAGTACATTCAGTTTACTAGTGTCCTAGATGCTCGCACAGTCTGAGGGCAAATCTGACAACAAGAAGGAGACCGAGTGAGTGAAGAACAAGATCCAGATCTCTACATTGAAGCCGAGTTCACATTCATTCATGATTCATAACATGAAAGAGAACACAAAGGAACGTAACCGGTGCGGGGAGGAAGCTCACTCGCGCGGCAATAACTGTCAGGTGATCAAGTACATGTGCTTCAGAACAATTAGAATGAGGGGCAACAGATGGTGAACAGCGGGCTCTGTCGACCCGTGCACAGGGGGAAAAGCAGCAGAGGGCTAAAGGTTGAGAGAGTGTGTTGTTCTTACCCCCCCCCTCCCCCTCCCGGCCCCACTTCTACCCCCCCCCGCCTTTGGTCATGTATACTGTATCTGGATATAAGTAGCACAGCCCCAGCTAGTAGTAGTGCAAGCACCCAAACCAGTAATGACTCTGAGACCGATGGTCGGACGGGCTCGTCCGCCCTCACCACCACTGCTGTTCAGGAGCACACAGCTAATTTGACACACAGCCCCACTCTGCAGTGGCCATGTGGCCTCAACTTCCAGATGGTGGCCGAGCAATACTATCTGATGAGCATATGGTTGTAGTGTCAAGGTTAGATGTAAAAATAGCTTGGACCATAAGTTATCTAATTCAGCAGTTTGAGGGAGTTGGAACTGAGTGGATCAAAAATTGCATGAAAACTGACCGTCAGCAGCAATAAGTTACTTATGACACTGGTACACGTACATGTAGGTCTTCGGTTAGGCACTGCCTATTACTTCAAAGTATTAGCTCAACCAGTCTTGTAAAACGTGGGTACACTTACAATACTGAATGCCCTCCAGGCCACCCAGCATCGTAATTAGACTGTTCATACACGTCGTGTACTATTACTTCTTCGTTAGTAGCAGTAGTAACTGTTAGTAGTGTGTGTGTGTGTGTTCCCGTGTGTGTATGTCCGTCGTGTGTGTGTGTGTGTGTGTGTGTGTGTGTGTGTGTGTGTGTGTGTGTGTGTGTGTGTGACTGCGGCAGGCCACATGGGACACGCACCGCAGTCCCCTGGCTGTCACAATGGTCTCACGTTCTGGCACCCTGTGCCAGCAATCATGCCCGGGACCATACGCCTGCGGTCGTACACGTGCACACACATTATACACCCTCATACTGTGCCCTGATATCATGGTGCTCTCTCATGTTTACAGCGATAGCCTGATGATTAGCTCAAGGGCAGGTTTCAGATATCAAGTGAAGTAACTTGGGACATGGCAAGTTGCTGACTCAAAGTAACCCTGTTCACGTGTCCGAAGTGTGCTGGCTGTGTCATGCATGGCTTCTAAAGGCGCTGTCCGTCAGTGCCTGTGTACAAGCTGTCAAAATTGTGTTGTGTTGACTGATGCAGCGTCTGTGGGCCTGTGTGCTTGTGTCCCCGGGTGTCAGCACAAGTTGCTATGGCTTCTGCTGTAGCATCGCTTTCATTGCCTCCGGCGATTGATGTCAAAATGGTCAAATGGTGTGTGTGTGTGTGTGTGTGTGTGTGTGTGTGTGTGTGTGTGTGTGTGTGTGTGTGTGTGTGTGTGTGTGTGTGTGTGTGTGTGTGTGTGTGTGTGTGTGTGCACTGTGTGTGCTCCCACTCGGGAGTTGGTATATTACGACTCCCGTCTCCACAGCTCTCACACCGACGGTGCTGTGACCGTGGTAACAGCCAGTGATCACATGATCACGTAATCACATTGGGCAATGCAGCTGTGGCGAGTGCAATCCAACCTCATGACACAGTATCATGTTCCAGGATGCGTGGCCTTATTACAAGTACTGAGCACGGTGTAGATCTACACTGGGCAGGGCAATGGAGAAAGCTCTACTGTATCCATTGTGAGGTAAGACCCACACTCGGTGTATCATTGCCGCTGAGTCTGCAACAGTACACTCACACAACAGCTGTCACTGACCAGGCAGGGCTGACTGGGGAGAGCATGCTCCACCATACTAGTATGCTATGAAGTGCATGCAGCCATGCAGCGGGTCACATTGACCATGCTCCATGCGTGTGATCGATAACCGTACTCGTGCTATATTGAGAACATGTCAGTCTCATCGCGGCTGTGGCCCTAAGCTACCGTCTGTCTGCATGATGTGAGATGACAGAAATACTCGTACTAGGGGTGTAACGCTGAACGATGTGCACTCACAGACACTCAGCGGCTGTACTGTTGGTCTGTCTGCTACATGTACTCTTACTACTAACACTGAACCCGGTTCATTTACGTGAGCACTCCGGCTTTGTCAACAACTCGGCAGTCTTCAACTCTTCAGGTTTTTCAAAGTCTCAAATCCATATTTATGGCAATGTTTTTGATTGCTACATGTACATCAACAAAACAAAGACTGTGATGCCCAGTGATAGCATTAAGCCTAATGCTGCCATGGTTGCTATGGCAATCTGTATGGCCGGACACAATGTCAATGGCACTAACTAGCATCAAGGAATTACTATCTAGAATCAAATGCTCAACAACCAGGCCGATATCTAGCAAGTCTTGCACGGAGACGCATGCCAGTAGGTTCTGCAAGCACAGAAATAGGATGATCAACTGGTGGTAGTATGCCATGATAGAAAGCTAGCCTGCGAGGAGTCGACTTGGACATGCTTACACCTAGGCATACAAAAGCCACACGCGCACCGAATCGTGATCTCAGAAGCACGTAGTCTCAAGACAAAATCATAATAACGTCAAGTGTGTCGGAGAGTGAAGCGGTCAGCGGATATGACGTCAACCAACACACAGCAATACTGTGTTTCATGACTAGTTACTGGTGTCCGCAGTGCATGTACTGATGCAGGATGTCTCCTCAGCACCGTTGCAGCTAGTGGAATCCGACCTCATAGCGGTATCGGGTTCTAGGATGCTTCGTCGCAACTAGTTTGTCATCTCCTTTTGCACGTGTACTGATGCGCCATGTCTCCTCAGCAAGTAACTTATACAATCACCGGCTGTCTCCTCAGCACATGCAGCATGTCTCCTCCGCACATGTGCGACGTCTCAGCCCTCAGCCCATGTAGGATGTCTCCTCGGCATAATTCTGTTGGGCATCTCAGTCATCAGCACATGTAGACAATGTCTCGTCAGCATACGTAGCATGTCTCCTCAGCACATCAGTGTAGGCCGTCTCAGCCCTCAGCACATATACGACGTCTCCTCGGCGCCGCCAATAGTCACCACCACGTCGCTGTCGGATTTCATCTGCGTCAACGGCAGGTTGTCCGTGATGCACTTGGCCGCGTCGGCCCTGCCCAGCTCGCGCAGCACGTCGACCAGTCGCAGCACCGTGCTGGTGCTCTCCTGCTCCCAGGCGCGCATCACCCGGTCCGTCGGGCTGCCCACGGCCAGCAGGCTGGCCTCGATCTCGGCCTTCTCGGCCGGGCTCACCGTGAAGTCGGAGCGCACCTGGTCCCGGTAGTCCATCGGCCCCGGCGTTGCTGAGCTGATTCCTACATACAGCATAGGTGATACACACAGGCAGGCGTCATACACATTACACACGCACCAGGGATTAACAATGTTGCTGCATTGCAAGTTGATTTCACATGACTCAGGCGAAGAGCAATCTCAGTAACCTGCCCACTGACCATGAAACCTATGAAATGAGTTATGGCAAAGCAAAGAACAACCAATGATCAAGTAAAGTTTTGAGTTTCCTATTTTAGGATTGCCATAGAGTCTCTCGTCCGGGCAAAATAATTGTGATTGCATTATTTTCGCAGTGCAAGGCATGATGCATAATTGAATTGTCATAATCATTTCGTCAGCAACATCATCATAATAATTATTATCCTGTCAGCAGCATCACTGAAGGATGGGACCTGGTAGCAGCTAACAGTTTATCGTGCAAGCATTGGTGGTTCAGTGGTAGAATCCTCGCCTGCCACGCGGGGGGCCCGGGTTCGATTCCCGGCCAATGCATCTTTTTTCTTTCTAAGTCTCACCTGAAACAGGTGGCACATGATTTCGACAAAAATCAAGCAAATCCTTTCCTACGTCGGTGTATTCACAAGTTTATGTTTTTTCAAAGAGTACGTGAACCAAAGTGTGCAGCTCCACGAGAATCATCCAATGGTTAAGTTTTTTTTGCCAAGGCCATAGTGACTCACCTTTGCTGCATCTTACACCGAGATACATGGTCATTTTACCATTTCACCAAGGTCTTGCTAACTGTTTCGTTGAAAAACGCACGCGAGTTTCCCACTATCACCTTTGTTATGTGGAAATTTCGCACTGAGCCTACAGTATGACGGGTTTCCTATGGTTCATGGTGACCTAAACAAAAAACTTCCCCCTGGGATTGATTTTGTAGAGCATAGATGCAGAGCTGTACACTCTGTCTGGCATACTCTCTGTTCACGATGGACTCCTGGTATCATTGTTTAGTGGCTAGGGAAAAATCTTGATGCAACAAAAAAAAAGATGCATTGGCCGGGAATCGAACCCGGGCCCCCCGCGTGGCAGGCGAGGATTCTACCACTGAACCACCAATGCTTGGATGCAAGTTGGTATCGACAGAGTCAGCATGAATAGACCAATCCCGAAAAGATTGTCTGGGTTCGAAAGGGGGCATGTCAACTGAGAGTACACTGTACAACACATACATGGCACTACCTGATCAGCATGCGGCACAGGACGTGTTTGATAGTTCGCGTGTGAATGCGAGGGTAAGTACACGATTTTCTCGCTAGTTGCATGCAAGAGAGACGATGCGACAGAAAGCGAAGCCCTTTGTAGTTTTCTCTCTCGCACTGGTAATGGCCTGCTGTTGGAGTTGAAATGCTAAGACATAATCCTTGTTTCGCTCTTCTGTGTAGTGTGAAGAGGTCAACGAACATGTAGAGCTCACTTTGATGAAGTAGGCAAGGCTGTGAGCGCTGTGGCTCAAAGCGATAGGTCCTAAATCTTACGAGATATTTCGAGTGCTATTGTTTGTTGCGAGCGCTTCGTCTTCGATGAGTCCTGCCTCTTTCCTGTCAGCTGCCCTCCTATAGGACCAACCACGAAGTGACTGTACTCATCTGCAGCCGATCAATGTTATATTGCACAAGAAGATATCGTTTTCGCCAAGCCAGTGCCCCACCAAAGACCATCGCCGTGTCACACCGTCGGAACGAGTTCATGATGAGAAACATCATTCGCGCGAGCGTGATGAAGAACTATTTCGAAAGACAACATAGTCTTTACCCCCGGGACGACAACTATGTGCACGTCCTGCAAGGGGAGAATGTCACCAGCGACATCAACGAAGACGACGGCAGTATTTCGGAAACCTGGAGTCAGTGGAGGTCGTCAAGCTCCTCCGCGACCCGGTACATGTACAGTATAGGTGACATGTCGACACGAGCGTGCGGAAACACAGCATACACTGTAGTAATGTTGCGAGAGTTTGCGGAAGGAGTCCAAGTCGGGAAATCCATCAGCTCCAAAAGTAACCTGTAGAGTGTAGGTGGGCGATGAGACTCCAGCTTCAGACTACAACAGTCAGGACTTGTAAATAGTTGAACTTTGTGAAGCAGCAGATCGAGAAGTTAGCTGAAATCGTAGCTGTTGCAGTATGTCGGCGCTATGTAGCTTGCATTTTTTACGGAGAGTCGATCGCCACGCGAATGTTTCTCTCCTCACCGAGAGCCATCTGGCCTCCAAACTCCGTCAGGGTCTGCCTAAGGTACCGAAGGTCCTTTGACTAGCTGCTGGCAGGACTCCATCAAATCCTTTAGCTTCAGCTCGGCGAGCAAAAGTCTCTCTCTCCTCCGCCATGAGCTGACACACACAAACTGAATACAAAACGATGCACTTCACACGTGCTGGCTTGCACGCGTGCCCCCTTTCACGAACCCAGACAATCTTTTCGGGATTGGTCTATTGATTGAACTCAAAATGCACAAACTGTTTGGATGATGTAATTGCATGCATGTTACACTGTATGATGATGTAGTTGCATACATGTTATTGCGTGAAATGACGTCATTGAATAACCGCTGCAGATGTACAGCATACGAGATCAAAATTAAACAACTCACCTGAAGGTAGACCGGGCAAGTGCAGTCGACTACTTCTAACCAGCGACGCCCTGTCAAGCTGCGGCATTTCATCATTCAGACCCAGGGCCAGCGCCAGGAGGCACCAGTCGCGTCCCAGCGAGTCGTGAGCGTCGAGCAAGCGACTCAGCTTCATGCGGGCGCGTGTGCCGAGCGTGCGTACGTGTGCGTACGGCGGCGACTTGGCGGTGAGAATGAGCTCCGGGCAGCCGCAGCACAGTACGTCACATAGTGTTTCGCTGAATCCCATTGCATGGTGCAGAACACCTGTCGCGCAGAGGTGGGAGGAAGACAACAGAAGCCGGATGAAAGTGGAGTAAGATTATGATGTCTTCATTCCATCCAAGATGGTTAGGGTGAAATTGCAGCACTTAGCAAGAGCAAATGCATACCAAAAGGTACACACACACACACACACACATACACACACACACACACATACACACACACACACACACATACACACACACACACACACACACACACACACACACACACGTACACACACACACACACACACACACTGTCCTGTCCTGTCCTGTAGAGTCACTGCCGCAAAAGGGTCACGTGATCCCATCACTGGGAAACTTGAGAAGAGAGAGAGAGGACACGACGCTCGATGACGCTCCAGGTGCACGGGTAGTCGCATCCGCTTGCCGCATATGCACACGTGCTGGAAGGCTGAGCGCTCCTCTGCTGTTGGTCTATGCGCCACCCTTGAACAGCGATGCCTGCCCCGTCCCCGGACACCGCGAAAGCAGCGACCACACCTGTCACAATGCGCGGCACAACATCCCTCCGCCGGTGCAGACGTTCCGGTAGTTCCAGGTGGCACTGCGGCAGCCACCGTTGAGGCACACACATGCCGGACCAAGCCACCGCGGCTTCTCACCCACCGCCCACACCGCCCGCACTGACTGGCACCCCGCTGCTCAGACACAGGCCGCGCACGCTTCTCCAGACACTTATGCCGAGCCATGTCTCCTTTCCGTGCAAAATCCCGTCCGCATACCGTACATACCACTCGGGGCGGAGGCTCAGGCACATTGTCAGGCTCTTGGTAGGTGCTGCGCCACTCCGCGCGGGACTCACATGCAACATCATACCATGATGCCTCCACGCCACGGGCACGTAGATCCCGGACAGCACAGTCCTTCCACACACACATACACACACCACACACATACACACATACACACACACACACACGCACACACACACCATTGGACCATTGGACGCCCATCGCCGGAGGCGATGATAGCGATGCTACAGCAGAAGCCATAGCAGCTTGTGCTGGGATTGCACCATTCAACAGCTTGCAAGGCTGAAGAATTGGCCGCCACTATTCAGCCTGGTCTACACCACACAGCTATGAAGTGGCTTTTTCTGGCCAGTGAATCCCTACTTTTTGGTCTTTTTCATTTTTTTCATTTTTGTCTTCATTTTTTTACGCACACACATCACACCACATACTCCGGCATGCACTGGCTGTTGGTAACCACCCAGGAGAATGAAAGAAAAGTCAGGAGGAGTCTGAGAAAGAGAAGAAAGACGTGAGTGACCATAATCGTCGGGAATCGAACCCGCAACCTATCGATTGGAAATCGCTAAACATACCACTGCACCATATGGGACACACACACACACACACACACACACACACACACACACACACACACACACACACACACACACACATACACACACACGCATGCATGCATGCATGCATGTACATATAAACCCACATAAATCTCCCCCTCCCATACACGGGAAGAGAGAGAAAGGGACGGAGTGTGTGAGAGAGACAGACACACATACAGACAGACATCCAGAGACGGGCAGACAGAGAGAAACAGAGAGACTGAGACGGATAGAGAGATACAGACAGACACAAACAGACAGCCAGAGGTAAAGAGAACATGTTTGTGTCACTGTGTGTGTGTGTGTGTGTGTGTGTGTGTGTGTGTGTATGTGTGTATGTGTGTATGTGTGTATGTGTAGCCAGTGCAGGCTAAATTTTATTTTTCAAGGAAACCCTTCGAAAATGGTACCAATCGATTCAGCATGGCATTTTCATTCCTCCTGCAAAGTTTCAGCTGATTTGGAGTCATGACAAGGACGCTATGGCGATTTGAAGATCGAAAAACTTCACTTTTGTTTGTCAAGAAGAAAGATCATGATCGCACACAAATCATACAACCCGTGTGGCACAATGATTTTTGAACGAAGTTGATCCGTGGACCCCGTGCTTCGCGCATGCATGCATGCATACTGCATGCATACTGCACAGTACAGAGGCTTTTTTGAACGCGGATATGTAGTTCTTCGTCTTCTTCGAAATGTGTTCCAACTGCGTGGTGCTGGTGTTGTTCTCAGCTTCGTCAAGGCAGAATGCAGCTGCATGTGATGCTCCTGTGTGTTCATGCATGTTCTCTTTTCGCGTCTCGACATTGTAGCGTCCAGACTCTGCTCGACTGGAGAAGATGGAGGAGACTATGCTTTGATCCACATGGAAAATCGATGAAATTTGGTAATTATCGTCGGGCGCTAAAAAGCGCTGGGGAGCATGGGGCTAAAACTTCGTAGCAGTCATCCCTACCATGACAGGCATCGACTGGTATATGTTCCATTCTGTTCCCAACCACTACGGGTAGTCTGCGAAGCTTTCTTCTTCGCCGATTCTCGGACAGATCGTACGTCTTCGCACTGTATCTCTCGTCTCCCTCAACGGATCAAAACACGGTTTTCGCCAGGACGAACACAAACCCCCAGATTTCGCGGCGGCAACAACTTCGAGTAGGGAAAAGCTAGCAGCTAACCAGGAATCACCAAAAAACACGTGTAATACTCAGTGTGATTTGCGACAGCTGTCATTGTGCCGTCGCACCATGCATGTACCATGCACGGGAATGGAACACGGATGAGTCGTTTTATTACGACAGCCTGCACTGGCTAGTATGTGTGTGTGTACAACTGTACTACATGTGTGTGCACGTGACTTGTGTACGTGCGTGTGTGCTAGTATGTGCATGTACATGATATCAGAGAGGATGACTTACCTCCTGCGGTGTCCTCCTCATCGTCATCAACTGCTGTTCTCTGTGCGTGTAAGAGCTGCTCAGGCTCATACCAAGCCAAGTCGGTGTGTTTCTTCATTGCTTGTGGACTCATGATCTGCAAAATCAGTACATACATGTATACATGGAAAGGGGAAATAATGTTCTTAGTCAGGTGTATGGCACATCCTCAGTCTAGACCTGGTTTGATCGATGATGTTTTCGTGGCTTGCTTTAGACTCCCACTGACCAGTCCATCTCCCACTGACCAGTCCATCTCCCACTGACCAGTCCATCTCCCACTGACCAGTCCATCTCCCACTGACCAGTCCATCTCCCACTGACCAGTCAATTTCCCACTGACCAGTCAATTTCCCACTGACCACTGACCAGTCCTTCACCCACTAACCAGTCCATCTCCCACTGACCAGTCCATCTCTCACTAAACCAGTCCGTCACTTCAGTTGTCCTCTTTCCCTGATTGTTAGTAGGGCTGTGTTTGCTAGTAAAAAAATCACCCACTGACCAGATCATCTCCCACTGACCAGTCCATCTCCCACTGACCGGTCCATCTCCCACTAACCAGTCCATCTCCCACTGGCCAGCCTGTCTCCCACTGGCCAGTCCATCTCCCACTTGCCAGCCTGTCTCCAACTGACCAGTCCATCTCTTACTGAACCGTCCATCTCCCACTGGCCAGTCCATCGCCACTGACCAGTCCATCACCACTGACCAGTCCATCTCCCAGTGACCAGTCCATCTCCCACTGACTAGTCAATGTTCCGATCACAAGTCCACCTCCCATTGACCAGATCAATCCTGAGTGGTGTACTATACATGCGTGTGACTAACGGGTACGATCACTGCGAACGACCTCCATAGTCTCTTGACTCGTCCTAGATAGACTGTGTCTGAAAGGAATTTTGCAAGACTGGCATGGATACCGTATACAGCTGCCCTACCCTAATGGGAGAGTTCTGTTTGCACTAAGACATTTTGTGCATGGAAGTGGTAATGTGGGAGACAGTGGTCGTTGTACATGTCATGCATTGACATCTGTTGTGGGCACCTTGTGGTGATGAGGCAGGACACCCAGGCCCAGTTGTTACCTGTGTAATGGTGTCGGTACCGGGGCACGTCTCCTCCACGTTCTGCTTGGACACAGCGAAGAAGAGCTGCATGTGTGCCAGACACTCACGCCGATCGGCATCTGTACCGCGCACCTGTCGGGGGCAGGAGAGAGGAGAGCAAAGAGAACACACAGCAATGTTGTGACCTCCCATGACAGTGTTCCTTTTGTCTTAGGATCCAGTGGTCCTCAGGGACAGGTGGTTGCCTTTTAAGCCTGAGAGTGGTCACCTAGACAGGCCTGAGTGTAAACATACTTAAAGGGGAAGTATACCCTAAAATCAAATTTTCACCAGTTGTAGTCTTCGGGGTGCTGAGTCGAATGGTCTTGGTCCGAGGAAGCTGAGACGCTCCCTTCCTACTTGAATCCCAATCGAACTCACGCACTTCCACCGAAACTGGGTGACTGCGCCCTACTAGATGGGGATTTGTATGCAAAATCTCACTAAAAGCGCCATTTCGTTCTTATAAAAGCACGGATGACCGCGATTGGCCCATATGTTGTAGTCTTTTGGACGCTGAGTCGACTGGTTTTGGTCCGAAAAGGCTGCGATGTAGCGTTCCTCCTTTATTCCCAATCGAACATGGTTGAAGAAGCGGTCACGTGCTCCTGCGTACACCAGTCACCTGGTCACCGTGCCTGCAGGGTACAACTTACTAGCCTGTTTGACCTTTTTTGGGTGCACTCCTGTCACTCGAGTTGAACTCGAGTTGAACCTTGGTGTGAAAGTTGTCGCCTGCTGGCGCGGTGACCAGGTGATTTGGGCACCCAGGAGCACGTGACCGCGTGTTCAACCATGTTCGATTGGGAATAAAGGAGGAACGCTGCATCGCAGCCTTTTCGGACCAAAACCAGTCGACTCAGCGTCCAAAAGACTACAACATATGGGCCAATCGCGGTCATCCGTGCTTTTATAAGAACGAAATGGCGCTTTTAGTGAGATTTTGCATACAAATCCCCATCTAGTAGGGCGCAGTCACCCAGTTTCGGTGGAAGTGCGCGAGTTCGATTGGGATTCAAGTAGGAAGGGAGCGTCGCAGCTTCCTCGGACCAAGACCATTCGACTCAGCACCCCGAAGACTACAACTGGTGAAAATTTGATTTTAGGGTATACTTCCCCTTTAACATCAACATTTCTATCCAATTTGGAAGCTGTTGGATCCCCCAACATGGGAGATCTCTCGCCAATGTTGATGCAGAAGTACCTTTTAGTTCACTAGTCTGGACAAGGAATGGGTGGTTGCAGTAGAGTTTGCGAATCCTTTTTTCATTTTATTTCAATTGGTTCTCATTGTGCGCCTCAACTAAAGTGAAGGATGGTACAAAAGCCTTGCAGACTATGCTGCACATCATAAATTATTATAGTGCAGTGCAAGGGTTGAAAAGGGTGAATCACTCTGTATTCCGTGACTGGGGGAGCACTGTGATTTACACCATTGGTGCAGCGGTGTCCAATACATATTTGAGTTCGAATTTTGCTGCGTTATGGGTCCAAGCATGTCCGATTATCATACTTCCCAGGGCAGATTTGACATCTCTATCTGTCTTTCAAAGTTGGTTTCTCTCTCAATCTCTCTTTCAAAGTTGGCCTCTCTCTCTCAATCTCTCTCTCTCTCTCTCTCTCTCTCTCTCTCTCTCCCCTTCTCTCTCCTTCCCTTACCAGGATATGAATGGCTCTACCATCATCAGCCAGCTCCACCATGATCTGCACATCACCTCTCAAGCACAGGAGACCTTCATTCCAGAGAATCAGCTCCTGAACAACAGGACACAGTATGCAACCCGGAACAGGAAACGCAGGATACGCAGGAGAATCTGTAGGTTAATAAGGTGAGAGAAGATCCTGTTCAAGTTGGGTTGTCTGGAGGTGCTTTGGTGTGTGTTGTACGTGCTGGGGGGTAAATGACACCAACATCACTCAACTCTCACTCTTATCTGGACGTCCCATGCCACCTACCCCTCTCAACGAGGCGACGACCAGAATCCGTCGAGTAGTAGTTTTACTACTACCACCACCACGCATACACTCCCAAGTGCGTGCCAGATTGGTTCTTGCCCATTGCCGGTTTACCATGCTAAACGTGCATCACAGGCTATACACAATGTCATGGACAGTGCACAGTGTGCAGTGTTCTCAGTGTTCTCAGTGACATGTTTCCGAGTTATCCCAAGATAACGGCGCAAACATGAGATGGTCGAGCGTTTTCGGCCTTGCCACACTGGTCCATACCTGGTCATCAAAGTCATCGCAGAAGCGCCGCCGTAGCGACAGCTGCAGCTTGGCAAAGAATCCCGGCGTGAAGATGTCCTGGGGCGTGGCGCAGGCCAGACGTAGACCAGCGTAGACTGTCAGCTCGTCGTCGCGTTCCCACAGTCCATACAGACACTGGCTCTTCATCAGCGCTGGAAACTCATAGCACACCTCACCAGTATCCTGCAGACACCCAGGCAAGACGGGCAGTCACACAAACACTGAATTTCTTTGATCCATTTTAAGGAGAGCCCATTTGATATACCGTATTTTCAGCAACACTGGCCCAGGTGCATAGTAGTGTGCGAGACCTAAAATTTCACCCAATTTGAAGAAACAAATCTACACAAAACCCCTGAAATGATGCGGTAGACAGGCGGTAACAAAAGACCGGCCCCAAACCCAGAAATTACGGTATACAGTGCATCAGCGTATGGTATGGTATTTTTATTCACCAATCAAACAGGCATACCTATCTGCCTTCTTGCCAGGATGGCCAGAGCCAGTGTACACACATGTGAGTGTGGACACATGGCCCGGTGTTAAGTACAACGTACCATGTGCGTAGCACCGCTGTCGGAGGTGGGCTGGCCGGAGGGGGGCTCAGGGGGGTGTCCCCCGGGAAATTTTTGAAATTGGAGTGCAATATCCCGCATTCTGGGCACTTCTGGACGAAAGCGTCGGCTGCTACGCCCAGGCGCGTGCACTGTATGAGTTTTTTGGTGTCTGGAAACCACCTTTTTTCGGGCAATCTTGCCGAAGGAAAAGCGCGCCTACTGGATTGGTTATCCTGCATACGCGTCGATCGACGGGTAGTTTACAGTACAGTGACTATGTCCTTATTTCGAAGTGAGAGAGAGTTGCTTTGCATGTAGTTCAAAATACATTATTCTCTCTTTCTTCAGTGGAGAGTAGCGACAGAGAGATCTATCTCTAGCTCTGGTTCGCTCCTGGATTGGCGATGACGTTCAAGAAATCCGTTCTGTCTCGAAATTTGAGTCAAGCACGTGCGATGCAAGTCAGTTCAAGGATATGATTGACGATATCTCCTTCCAAAGTGTTGACTCAAATCAAGATCTCCACAGCCTTTCGTTCTCGCTCATGTGCACAGCAGAGATGTTCGTCAAAAACGTTGTCGACTGGAAGACGAAAACATGTGCGTCCATGATCCACTTGCGCTGCTTCAGAACGAAGCGCTGCTCCGGCCGCGACTCAATGACGCGGGACTCTGCTTTTCTTCCGCGAGCTTCCATCGAAGCAAGGCCCATAACTCTTTATTGAAATAATGTTGAACATTGCCAATACATGCTGAAAACTTCGTCATAAGAACAGAAAGAAAGATCCGTCGAATGTAAGCAGTGTTTTGATGAAACAAACATGCCTGGATCGGAGTGGACTCCATTGTACTGTCCCCGTGAAAAATTGCAATTCCGCGGCCGCGTTTTTTTCCGCGTTTTTTGTGATTTTTTAAAAGACCGCGTTTTCCGCGATTTTCCCGCGTTTTTTGAACTTTTCTGTTGCACTACACGTACACACAGTGCACTGTTCGGTCAGCAACGTCTCATCGTGGCGGCTTTTTACTCAAATATGACGAGTGCTTACACCAGAGACTTGTAACTGATTGATTTCACTACATACTCACTGAAAATTGCCGCACATCAACATCATTCACCGCATATTTACCGCATATTTACCGCAATTTCACCGCAGATTATGCCATATTATGCCGCGTTTTTCCCCGCGTTTTTTGCGATTTTTTTCCGCAATTTTCCCCGGGGACAGATTGTAGTGAAGTACCATAGACATAGTGTTATACTAGTCTTATAGACTGCAAGAGGTACACAAAAGGAAGTATATACGTACTACGCTCTGCCCATTCCGGGCATTTGAGCACTATTGCAGGTTAAGGCGCACTCCCTCTGTGTCTTATAGACTGTAGTGTAGCCTGGGCGGCTAGGCCTATCAAACTTTTACGTGTTCAATATGACAAACATGTCATTGTATATGAGTGAATTGACTTTTGTACCCTCTTTGCAAATACTTTTTGAAGTGCTGGTATGTAAAAGGTAACCCGTTTTATCCTGCTACCGGTTACACGTGTACCAACATTTCCATGCAACATCGTCCCCTCTCTCCATTCCTCTTATTTCTGTCCTTTCTACCCCTGTACCTGGTTCCCTCTCTGACGCGTTTGTGCCGGCATGATCTGATGATAGCAGTCGGACGAGCCCCGCATCTCATCAGCACCAGTGTTCATTGGTGCCCTACACCCCTGATCTTGAGTCCCCTCCCTCCTCCCTAGCCCTCGCCGTTATCTCCGACGGGATGTTCGGGGGATGCGCATGTGCACAAATACATAATGATACAGTGGGTCTCCAGAAAAAAATTACCAGCTCTAGAAACCCCCCTTTCAAGACTCGGTGCACGCCACTGACGCCCCTGCCTACACAAGTGCTGCATGCACCGTCAAGTGTCGAATGTTGAAAAAGGTGAACCTCCACTAAGACTCAGTAGCACAATGATGACAGACAGGAATACTAGCAGGTCTCGTAGTGCAGTGCATCCGAAATCCTACCCCTCGTGCTTTTCTCTGCACCCTGAACCAACGGATGTGGGGCACCCAGAGGTTTGGAGCTCGCCTCAGTGCATGCACTAGGCTATGAAGCCCGCAGTGACATGGCACGGACATCTCTCAAGCCCAGGAGGTCTGCTCCCACTAGCCATTACGGTGAAAGTAGCATGTATGAAAGAGTGACTGGATGATTGCACAGAAGAACAGACGTGATCACGACTGGTCGAAACATCAACTCATGCAGCGTGATCCCTTCTGTCTTTCTATGCAATGGTCCAGTCCCTTTTCTTTCTTCATATGTGCTCCTTTCCTGATGGGATCAAGTGCCGGTTTGTCATTGTTATGATCGCCGACTATCTCCCAGATTTTGCTTACCTGGATATCAGGCTTGCATAGGTCAAAGTGCTCCAGCAGGTGAAATATGGACTGGCCGTCGACGTCCGGCCACACACGGTTCACCTCGCGCAGCGGCACGCGACCAGTGTTGGAGCGCAGGCCGAGTGCGGAGCGCTGTGGGTGATCCGCGTCCGGGTTCAGTGCGGGTCCGAATATGGTCGAGCCTAGCCAGTTCGGGTCCAGAATGACGAGGTTCTCCAACGGCGGCTGTTGAATGTAGACCACCTGAAAGAGTTGGAACAAAAAAATCACATTGCAGCCGGATGCTCTGTAGAGTCTAGGGCTGTGAGGAGTGTGTCGGATTGATGAGTACTTTCAATAGGGAGCAAAGTACGTATTATGGTGTAAAGAGTGTAATCTGGTTACAGTACTGACTGGTGATAAAGAACAGGGTGCAGAGTCGCATCCTACGCGATTCCTATTGATCTTGTAGATCTGTGTACAGTCAACGTTGCATGTAACGACACTCGGCGGGGCATCAGAAAAGTGTCCTTATTCGCGAAGTGTCCTTGTACACAAAGTATCATTATATCATGTATTGCAGTTAGATGGGACTTTGCTCTGGGCATGGAAAGTTGGAAACTGTGTCGTTATACGCGAATTGTCGTTATATCCGCAGTCGTTATTCGCGAAGTTGACTGTATATACATGAACCGACGTGTATCCGTCACTTGGTAAACTTCTAGCCTGTCTGTTTCGGTGCATCATTCTTCGGCGCCTGTCAGTACAGATACTGTAGTCTAGACCACATTACTGAATTCGTCTGTATGTGTGTAGGGGAGTTTCATGTATTTTAAAAGAAACAGCCGAACGGTACCGTTCACAGTTTTATTGTGTGTAGGGGGGGGGGGGGGGTCCAGAAAAAATGACATCTTGCAGAATGACCATTCGACCATAATATTGGCTATGTCGCTTTCAACCATGACTGCTGGTAATTGGAATTCCATCATAAATGCATATACACACGCATGTGCATAAGCACATTATACACACAGGCGGCTCATGTGCCCTGCACGGACTCACGTCTCCACTCATCATGAGAAAGCCGGTGCTGATCCGGAGTCGTTCCTCGCTGACTAGCGGGTTCAGCTCCGTGCTGACTTTCGTCAAGAAGTCCTTCCAGACCATGACCGGCAGGAGCCGATTCTCATCTCTCCATGCTGGCAAACGCTCCGCTATTGAAAGGCACAGGCGAGGCATCCAGGGCTGGGACTACGAAAAAAAACAAGGAGAATGGATACGTTGACGTACTCACAGCAGAGAATAAGCATAGTATAAAAGCATTCACATGGATATCAATTTCTCTCTCTCTCTATCAATCTTTCTCGCATGTACACACACACCCAAGATTAACCCTTTCAGCACGGCCAGGGTGTGTAACTGACCCGCGGAGCCAAAACCAGTGATTTTCGTGATTTTCCAAAAGTAGTCCTATTCACTCACAATTTTTTCTGCGGAATGCATAGGTTTCAGTGAGAACAATTCCCAACACAAAATTCCATATTTGGTCAATAGAAGCCAGTAAAACGAGTACAAAATATACGTATTTTTGATGAATTTTCGCATAAACACGGGTTGAACGTACCAGAGCATGCAGCTCATTTATACTAGAATGGCCAGGTGGATATGATGGTAAGAACTAGGTTTGACATAATTACGGTTTTGTTCTTGAGTAGATGATGACCAAATATGGTCATGTTTGCTGAAACCAGCTGAGGGGAGTCAGGAACTATTCAATGTGCATACGAATAGCTAGGCAACAGGTTTTTGCCGAACAGACACCGGCAGAGACATGCACATATTCACAACCATACAGATCTATCCAGCCATGCAATTCTCGCATTCACATTCACCCGTACACTCATGTACTCTATTGGACACATGTATGAAAGCGCACCCGTGCGCACGCGCGCGCGCGTGCGCCCCCCCCCCCCTCCACACACACACACACACAAATTATAGAATGTAGCTCACATAAATTATTGAATGCAGCTCACACAAAGTAGCTGAGCGCTGCAATGCCACTGCAGTGAACTAGCAGGCAGCTAGCAACTACATAAAGCCTGCCACGATCCTCAAGCGGTGACCAGACCTGAACACCCCTGACACGAGCGAGTACAGCTCTATTTCCCTCGGTAAGACTCCTCGAAACACTGAATGCAATACGAATGGCTAGGCAACAGGTTCTTGCCGAACAGACACCGGCAGAGGCATGCACATATTCACACCTATACAGACCTATCCAGCCATGCAATTCTCGCACTCACATTCACCCGTACACTCATGTACACTATTGGACACATGCATGAAAGCGCACCCGAGGGCGCGCGCGAGTGCGCGCCCACACACACACACACACAAATTATAGAATGTAGCTCATACAAATTATTGAATGCAGCTCACACAAAGTAGCTGAGCGCTGCAATACCACTACAGTGAACTAGCAGGTAGCTAGCAACTACATAAAGCCTGCCACGATCCTCAAGCGGTGCCCAGACCTGAACACCCCTGACACGAGCGAGTACACCTCTATTTCCCTCGGTGAGACTCCTCGAAACACGGAATGCAGTACCCAGGATTCCCGAGGCAATCAGCGCACATGGTGCGGACATCCTTCCGGTTACCCTTGCCGTAGCAGACAACACACTGTTTCTGCGGATTAGCCTTTTTCTCGGTTGCCGGGATGTAGCGGAGGAAGTGGCTGTCCATGCGCTTCGTGCCTGTGGCTCCACCGGTTGCTGCAGCAGCTGCTTCCGCGTGAGCTACCATCTCCGCCTTGCCTTCGGCGATGAGGGCTTTCAGGGCGTGCTTCACAAAGTCGAAGTGCGTCATGCGGTTTGACTTCCTGTGCAGGATATACGCGTTCAGGAGTGCTTGCTCAATCAGATGCACGGCGAGCTTCTTGTACCACTTCCGGGACTTGCGTGCAGCGGTGTAGAACGACAGCATCTCATCATTTTTGTCAACTCCACCCATCTTCTTGTTGTAGTCCTGTACAAGACGAAGCTTGCGGACTGGGCGGCGCTGCCGATCTCGCTTGCCAGTTGGCTCTACGTTTGCCTTGTGCATCGTGGACAGAAAATGCACCTCCTTCGTGTCCTGCAACTTTATAAACATCATGCCACCACCGCTCCGGTACAGAAAGTGGCCTTTCTTTAGCCCCTTGAAATTTGCTATACGCTTCGGTAGTCCGATCCGGTTCTTGCGAATGGTACCACACACTCCCGTTGCGTTGCCCTTGAGGTAGGTGGCTATCGGGATACTCGTGTACCAGTTGTCCACGTACAGCTTATACCCCTTCCCGAGAAGCGGCTCAACGAGCTTGTGCACTACCGCACCGGACACGCCGAGCTCCTTGACCTTCTCAGGGCAGAAGGTTTCGTTGTCCTTCCCGACGTAGACAATCAGATTGAAGAGGTAACCGCTGTCTTCGCAGAGCGCATAGATTTTCATCCCGAAGCGTGCTCGCTTCGACGGAATATACTGGCGGAATGATATCCTTCCCTTGAACGCCACCAGTTCCTCGTCAATTGAAATGTACTCGTTGGGAGTGTAAACGCTCATGAATCGCTCCTGAAGCAACGTCAGAAGAGGCCGTATCTTGGAGAGCTTATCGTTTGGATCTTCTTCAGCGTTGTCCATGAAGTGCAGAAAGTTCATGATAGAGGTGAAGCGCTCGCGCGGCATCGTGCGGCTGTAGAACGGTGTGGCGATGATGGGATCTGTGCTCCAATAGTGGTCAAGCTCGGGCTTAGGAACAAGGCCCATGTTCAAGAACAAGCCCAGGAACACTTTCATTTCGGCTACGGTAACGGGTGTCCACGAGCGGGCGAGGCTGCGCCGGGCCAGTGTTTCAGCGTTAGCGTCGATGTATGCTCTTGCAAACCGGTTTGTCTCCGTCACTAGCATCACCCAGAATTGTGCAGTGAAGAACAGCTTGACATAGTCCAGTGGAGTTGGATCGTCCGGGAGAGGCATCTTGATCCCTGGCTGGCCAGTAAATGGCGGCACATTAGGTTCCACATTCTGTTTCACCCAGATACCTGCAGTAACAAAATATCCATGACAAATCCTATGATGTTCCCAGTGTCACACACAAATGCTAATAATTATAATAATTTGCATTGTACAATTCTGTCCGCTGATTGAGTTGTACATGTGTATGAATACTAAAAATATAATTCAAATTTGGAACTCACAACGATAAGCATTTGCAACACAATACACATTTACATGCATTGTGAATGAGGAAAAATGTCCGTGCATGATCATTGAGCGATCAGCTGAGTGACAAGATTTTTAGTACAATTATTTGAAAATTTGAAATTATGAGTACTATTTTCAGATCCATACGCACACTGACCTTCACTTCCATCGTCGCCCTCAGCCAGTGCTTCGACTGCTTCCACGTGCGTTTTAGCAGATATCCCCTCGTTCTCACCGTCACTGTCGCTGCTGGCGCTACCTACATCGTCATCCGCGGCGTCTCCTACGACATCGTCGTCGTCCAATTCATTTTCACTATCGCCTGGCGACGCTGCGCGATTTTCAGGCAGATCTCCATCTTCCTCCGACAGAACGATGTCGTCTTCAGACAATGTCGGCTCGACATCACTGTCAGGGTCGAGTACGACAAGGTCGAGGACATGATCGAGATCGTCTGCACCATATCGACGCCGCGCCATGACAGCAAATTGTCAAAATTTCTATTGTTCAAATAATTTCGCACGCGACATCTATGTAGGCGTACATAGCCGCACATGCGCGTGCGCCCGTCAGTACTATCGTAGAACTGTCGACGTTCATCCAGCACGTCACTGGTCCACGTAGGGATAAGATCCGTCGACCACGGATGTCTCGAGAGTACGTTCATTTTCACTGTACGCATCACGTATATATACGTGATCCGTGGGCCAGTTACATGTACCATCACGTACATATACGTGATGCGTGCTGAAAGGGTTAAAAGCTGTGTCCATCCGTACGTGAAATCGAGAATGCCTTGTGGCCTCCAGTTGAAGGGAGTTCTCTAGCCCAAGGATCTGATGGAATCTGCCTGAAGCACACAAAAGGATCAATGATGCATGCTCGTACATTTGCATTGTACATACCTGCACTAGCTTTTCTCTCATCTCTGCCAAGTGGACGCGCAGTGACCGCACCTCACGTGACTGTGACGCACGTGCGTCCAGTACGAACAGGCGCTCGCATATGTAGAAGTAGTGAGCAAACTCGGCGGCCACCGTACGCAGCACCAGGTCACCACTGATGCTCATCCACTCGTTTGTCACTGGATTACGTTCGGCGGCCTGCGGCAACAAGCAGATAGATTGCAGTATTACTGAGCCAGCACAGACACTAGCATGGGAAAGGAGGAGGAAACACAGTCAAACCTCGTTAGGACGAACACCTAGGGACCGATGCAGGGGCGTAGCTGGTCCTCCTTTTTGGGGGGCCCGGGGGGGGGGGGGGGGGGGGGGTATACGGCTGCATATGTGTACGATGGCTGGTGCATGTCATCATGGTCATCATGTGCATGCTGAACCGAAATTTTAGGACGTGCACCCCCCCCCCCCCCCCCCCCCCATGCCCCATGCGGGCTACACGCCTGCGATGGTGTTTGTTCCCAGTAACGGTAGTTCCTCTTATCCACAGTGAATCCACAGTGAATACACAGTGAATACACAGTGAATACACAGTGAATACACAGTGAATACACAGTGAATACCCAGTGAATACACAGAGATTTATCCAATAGAGCTATGAATACTAGCTCTTCCAAAGCGAAAGTTTGTTTCATCAGTGTTCTTCTTGAAAAGGTTTCACGGCACCGTGAGTGGGATTCTATCCATGCGGTAACCGTCTCTCTGTAGGTCATCATGCTTTTCTGGCGCAGCCGACTTTTAAAACATGCACGTCAGCAGAACATTACCTCAACAGCATGAAAGAACCGGAAGTCATGAATATTAAATCTATGGATATAACGAAGGTCGCAGACCTCACCTCGCAACATGCAACTTGTTCGAAATGTACGTGTACCATCCAGAATCGATTTCTGTTCCGATCAAGTTATGAATAACATGTGAATGACCAACTTTGGTCGTTCAAAGCTTGTTCACGGAGCAAGTCAGAGAGGCGAGTGCCATACCTGCGTGTCAGCTCTGGTGGCGACAAGGATGATGTGCGGGCGAGTAGGACCACGGCCCTGGTCTCGTATCACTCCATCAGACGGCAGCTTGGATTTGATCAGCGACAGCCAGAATCTTACCTGTTGGATAGAATTGAATAAAAGCCATGTTTGTGGATTCTAGGATAAACATCTTCTGAATAGAACACAATGGTATCCTTTCTTTCTACATAGGCTAGATACTATTTGTTCTTCTCTGATGCAACTTCCTGTTGTTACCGGCAAGACTGAGTCAATAACACCCCAGAGTGTGCAACGTCACTGATCAAATCTGGGATGGCGAAATCCGTGTTGCACATCGTAGTGTGACATCATGAGCCGGGGAAGTGCGTCCGCGGTGGACCGCGTCGACGGAATGACGCAAGTCCGATCCCAAAAATGACGTACATCACGGATTACACCGTCCTCAACCCATAACCCAGTTGTGCACTCTGGGGGATTATGGACTTTTGTTACCGGTAGCTAGGTTGCATGGGTGGCAGAATGGCCCGGCAGTGCATAATTTTAGACCATGTAACAGCTGATCAGTTTTCTGGTGTGTAATCACATAAAGGATTCATATTTCAATATGAGCAGTCTGCTACTCTCCATGAAACATTTTCTTTTTTTAATAGTACAACAGCCTCTTTTTACAGGCAAACAAAACACCATTCAAGTACTGAGTGGGAACAATTGCACTCCATGAAACATGCTCTACCAGGAAAGATGTTCTGCAAAAGAGTGCTGCGCACCTGGACGTGATCCCCAGCATCACCTGCAAAGGCACCGTAATCCCCGAGTCCAGCCATGTTCTGTACCTTGGCCTCCTATTGGACTGTCGCTCAGCTTCGAGCAGCAGGTGGAGCGTGTGTGCGCAAAGGCACAGTGCAAGGTTGCCTCATTCCGCCACGGGCGCCGCGATGTCTCCATGACCGGCCGCCACATGTCACAGTTTACCTGACACTGATTGTCCAGAGTACCTTGCCGGACTATGCCAGCACATGTTATGTTCACTGCTTGTCTGCTAAACTCCGAGACAAACTTGAGTCAACCAGCAATAGGTGCCTAAGGCGAGTGTTTGGCCATGATCAGTATACCGTTCTATCGATTTCATTCTCACCAAATATAACCTGCATACTTTCTCTCACCGTGTAAACTTGAAGCTGTTTGTGTTTGTTTTTAGGTGTCTATCTCGTTGCACCAGTCCTCTTTTAACTTTTCCCCGCTCTGCATCATGCCGCACAAATGCTGCTACCCGCGGTCAAGCTTCAGCTGCTCTGAACCTACCCAGAGCTACGTCTCGTTGCGGCCTGAATGCTTCATTTTTGGCAGCAGACAGATGGAACATGCTTCCACCTGGATGTCGTCAAGCTAAGCCCCTTTCTGCATTTGTCACAAGCACCAAGTCATTCCTAGGGTTCCCAGTAAAAAGGCAACGCCTGTTGGGAGTTCCCTAGTAAAATAATAAATTCTTCTACTACTACTACTAGTGCACCCATGGCAAAATGGACAAAAAAGAGAGCACCCAACGTGGGGCTCGAACCCACGACCCTGAGATTAAGAGTCTCATGCTCTACCGACTGAGCTAGCCGGGCTGCTTGGTGATGCATTCAGACACCACTATCCCTGAGCATACCAGCATCCTTTGATACACCGTATGTGAAGCACCTGACATGTGGTTCAGGTGAAATGCACTGTGCAGTGCTGTCGGGCACCGGAGAGCGGAGAGCGGAGACCGGAGACCGGAGAGCGGAGAGCGGAAGAACGAACAGGGTAGATTTTCACCGAGCACAGCATACATGTACCGTTTTACGTGGTGACTCCACTGTGCATAGACTGATGTACATGGAGCTCCATGAAATGATTGTTTTTCTATTTCTGACTCCATGAAATTGTCTTCATCTAATTTTTTCCTTTTCTTCTTTTGGTCCTTTCTGTCTTATAATATTATCATTTCTTGTTTTCCCGTGCATATCATCCCTTTCATCATTCTGTGAGAACCTGTCCTATGGGCAGGTGAGAAGGCATCTCTGCCTGTTCATTTGGTGAAGTAAAATAAACAACAACAACAACAACAACAACAACAACAACAAATCACAGAGAGCGGCCTAAACTGACTGTACCTGCTCTAGTTGTGTCTCGTGGGCATCACGCAGGCTGAACAGCACCAGGAAGATGGCGTTACCGAAACCGAAGAAGTACTCGTGAACCGGGTAGTAGGACTTGCTGCCGCTGAACTCCCACAGACTGAAGTTACCTGCACCAGCAATAGTCACCTGGAGTCGAAAACAAGCAGGAAAATAGTTTTAATTCCCGTAGCTATGCAGAAGACCTTACTTCAGTAACGTCTGGCGCTAGCCAGGGTCCACACAGCTTTAATTTGGTGTTTGTTTGTTTGTTTGTGTGTTTGTGTCACGCCTGGCGCTATCCCGTATCTGTCCCCGTACCGTGCCGTACCATCAAACACAGCTGGCCACATACAGCTGGCCGCAATATTCAAATAGGGCTTTCAAACGCAAGATCATAACGTGAAGCAACTTGGAAGAATGAGTATGAATGCGAAGTGTATGGGGGAATGCATGTAGGGCGATAGTGCGGGTTCGAATCCCAAGTATTGCCTGAAAAAATAGGAGAATTTAAAAATTTATAACATCCCTTTTCATTTTTTGCCGTCATCAAGGCGTTAGACGGTGTCATATTACCCTCGACCGTACCTGTCCCGTACCTGTCCCGTACCGTACAATCAAAGACGGCTGGCCACAATGCATAATATAATAGGGCTTTCAAATACAAGATGATAACGTGAAGCAACTTGGAAGAATTAGTATGTATGCGAAGTGCATTGGGGGATGCATGCAGGGCGATAGTGCGGGTTCGAATCCTAGGTTATGTCTAAAAACAAAAAGTATAAACTTATAAGAATTTATAACATCCCTATGCTTTTTTTGTCTAGGTCATGAAGGCAAAAAAAGCATAGCGTAGGGCCCTGAGCTTCCAAGCTCTCTCGTATGCCGACATCCTTTGTCATGTTCACTCCCGGAGAATTTCCCAACAGGTATGATGCTGTGGCCTATCTCATGCACACTCATCATGGAATCTATGGTGGTGCTATAATTATGCTGCAGTTCGCCTGAGACGCTGACCGGCAGAGATCCATTTTGTGTTGTACACAATAGCTAGCGTAAATCAGCTCCCAGGAGTGTGCAACTCTGCATACAGGGTCTCCGACATGGAAAACTAACATGACGGGTTCCAAGTACGATTCATACTACGTTCAACGAAAGCCAGCGTGCACGCAGTCCAAATATCTACCATGATCGTGCTGATGATTCACATATGCTGAATGGGTTGTTAGGAGGGAGTGCTAGGTTTCAACTCCAGTGGTCACTAAAACGAGCTGGGAACGTACAACGCCATCGGTGGACCCCATCGAAAGGGGACCTAGAGTCGTACGCTCTTGGAAGCTAATGCACTTTGGAAAATAGTCTGAGCGGAATCGACCAATCCAAAAATGCAAGGCAGGTCAGGCCAGAATCACGAGGGAAATCACTCCAACCGGGACAAACTCATGTGTGAGTCAGGATGGCCGAGTGGTCTAAGGCGCTGCGTTCAGGTCGCAGTCTACTTCTGTAGGCGTGGGTTCGAATCCCACTTCTGACATCAATTATTTTTTTGGTTTTTCTGAGTTCACCACGGAGTGCACAGTCTCCACATCTATTGGACGTTGCTGTACCAATAGCATTTCATGTTGACTTCTTTTTTTAATGGTCTTCAGTTTATGGAAAAGATCTTTTAATTTCAGTATGAGTACATGAGCCAGGGAGTAGTAGAATTGCTTCTGACATGTTTGCATGGGCTTCCAGGCCTGTCGGAACCGGTGCGGTTGTTCAGGTTATTACCGGATCAACTTTTTGGCCACTGACACATGTTTCCTACTATGGAGAGTGTGTGTACCCGCCATATCATACACAAACTGTATGAACGGCACTGAAACTACCGGACCAATCAAAAACTGCCTCCGACGGTCCTGGTTTCTGACATGAAACTCTCTGTCATGGCAAAATCCCTGGAGTTCATCACTGTTGGCGCAGGTTCAGGTGAGGACATTTTTTGAAAACCACTATAATTACAGTGCAGTGCATGATGCCCTGGCAGTGGTGGGCTTTTTAGGCTGTGTTTACATGAGAAATTTCAACCCGGGGCGAGTTCAGCCCGGGTTGAAAGTCTGTACGATAGACAAAAGAGGTGAGCGTTTACATGAAGACAGTTGACCCGGGTCAAATACTGATATGCCGCCAAAAGTCCACTTCTACAGTCCTGTGTGGTCACGTGAATCCTTTCGCGCGAAATTTGCATCTGCAGGGCTGTTCAAACCTGGCGCGAGATACGCACAGAAGTACGTTAGTACGATTTTCTTGACCCGGGTTGATTTCAACCCTCCCCTTGGGGGGGGGGGGGGGGGGAGGGTTGAAATCAACCAGGGGCAAAATTTCAACCCGGGTCAAGCGCAATGCGTCATGTAAATGCACCATTCATTTTGTGCACATGGCGGGTTGAAATCTGACCCGGGTCGAACTCAACCCGGGTTGAAACGCCTCATGTAAACATAGCCTGAGGTGGAATGCTCAACATGATACTCGAAGTACACATTACTGGGGACAACCTGCGATCCAATCCTTACAAACGGGGTGGTAGTGTGTGCAATGTGTGCACTGTTGCACAGATATTGGAGAATAGGGGTATGGCACGCGTTGCACCATTAAAAAAGGAAGAAGTCAACATGAAATTCTATTGGGACAGCAATGTCCAATAGATGTGAAAACTGTGCACTCTCCATGATGAACTCAGAATAACCAAAAAATATTTGATGTCAGAAGTGGGATTCGAACCCACGCCTACAGAAGTAGACTGCGACCTGAACGCAGCGCCTTAGACCACTCGGCCATCCTGACTCACACACACTTGCTACACAACACTGAAGTGAGTAAATGCTGATTTTTTTAATATCAACTGTCACATTGCCGCACACATACTCACTTCAAGTGCCATTTCTCACGCTAGCCGACGAAGCATATCCTAGAGTTGTGTAAAGTCACCAAGGTATTACATGTACCTACATGTACTTGTATCTACACACATTTCCCCAGGCTATTGTTGGCTGCATCCAGCAAAAATGAACCTTTCAGCTTTCATAAAACTAAGATGGTGAAAATGTCAAAAACGATATCCTTCAATTCCAATCTCGAGTTCATTCGCTGCTTGCTCACTTGCAACCAAAAATTCAAGGATGCCTTTTTGATATTTTCCAAAAAATGGAAGCTCTTGAGTTTTTTTCGGTGAACGCAGCCATGTATGGATCTCTTACTGGTTTAATGTTGATGCCTTGTGTTCGAAATGGCGTGTGTTCACTGAACTCATCCGGCGGTTTCTTTCGGAACAGGCTCTTGAGAAGGCTGGTGTGCAGGGAGTCGATGAGCACCGACTTTCCCGTGCGTGACATGCCGCAGACATTGAGCTTCACACGGTCTATGGGCACGGCGCTCATGGCTAACTCGTCCACGTAGTGATCTCGCAAGTTACCCTGTGGAGGCCATTGAGAGAGTACAGGACAAATAAAGACAAGGAGCAACGCCGGGATGAATGGAATGAACGAGAAGAAGAGGGGAGGAGGAAAGGAGGAGGGGGAGGAAGAGCATGAGAAGAAACTGGAAGTTGGACTGAGGAGCAGGAGGAGGAGGAGGAGGAGTGATGTTGGTGTTATATAAAAGTAGGAGGAATGAAGAAGCAAGGGAAGAGACAGAGGAGACAGTGAGATAGGAAGTTCGAAAACAAATGAACTTAATGAGCAGGGGAAATATGAGCTACTGGATGCCACAACGGGGGGGGGGGGGGGGGGTGGGGGGGGGCATAGTTCCTCTAGAACAATATTAAAATATACGTAAGATTGGAAAATGTCTGATTGGGTGGGTCAACTTAAAACTGTGGTGGATTCAATGGCCTGTACCATACCGCCGTGTACTGTAAGTCTACTAATTATCGGCTCATTCAAATTTCGGCCTCCCAGGGCTAAAACCCATTTCGGCTGCAACAAATTGTCGGCCTGTGCTGCTGCTGCCTGAATACACTGTCACACTGAACCTTGCAAAACAAAATTTCGGCTGCAACACATTTTCGGCCAAATATGATTAGGCCAAAAATAGCCGACAATAAAATATGCACCGAATATTTGTTGACTTCCCGTACATGTGCTTGCTTATCATGCCAATTCCAGCTTACCTGCCGAAGATTGTAAAGCAGGTTAGCTATCTCGGTGTGGTGTGCCATGGATGCCACCTTGTCAGCTGTGTGACCGGACTGTGGAGAATAAAAGAAAACAAAACACCTTCAAGAGGATTGGTCACATCATTGTCACCTCTTTCGGTAGGCTGCTTTAGCCGGTGTTGATGTGCTGTGCATCGTTCACTACTTTTCGTAGTTGGAATGCTCTGGCGCTAGAGCGGCGAGCTATCTTAATGTCCGTGGTGCCTTCTTTGCGCCATGGCTGGTACTTCGGCTCGTAGTCATACTGATGAGGCCTAGGTGACTGAAACAGTTTGCTGTCTACAGCATTGGGTCGGTATCACCCATCCTGGTATGCATATTAATGCATGTATGTGTGTGTAGCCCAATAGGCCAATTGCTAATCAATGCGGACTTCTCCAAAAAATGCTCAAGGCTACAAACGCTGGGCGATTGCTGAGAAAAATGCACGACCATGCCACGCACAATTTACACTGGACCTGAGCATGTCCCCGGGCCTTGGCTTGTTCCTCACCTCGTTGATCAATTCCAGGTCTGCTCCGGCTATGACCAGGCATCTCACCACTTCATAGTGACCGTTCTTAGCAGCCAGCTGTAGTGGCGTCACACCGTGCTGCAATACAGAAACAGGTGGAAAGCGCCACACTGCGTTGATGAAGTGTGTATGGGCGCTAAGAGAAACATGACTGTGTGGTTCACAGATTGAGAAAGTGTGGGCTCATTGCATTCCTCTCGTCAAGACCTTTCCAGGATGCCCAAGATCGTGAAATTGTCCAATGCAAACCAAAGTTACATCCAATTCTAGGTACAGGTTTGGTGAGTGCGTGGGCTTGTATGCATCATAATCAGACAGTAAAGGGTGAATTAGGAGTGGGTACGGACCTTTGTAGCTTGGAAGAGAGAGAGAGAGAGAGACAGAGAGAGAGAGAGAATTATCATGATTGTAAATTGACTTACCTTGTTGGGCACGTTGAGATCACAGCCATTGGCAAACAGCGTCTGCACGATGGACAGGCTGCCATCACGACAGGCATCATGGAGGCAAGTCTCACCATGCTGGAAACAAATGCACACGTGAAGAGAGCATTACACATAGAGTAACATGAGTGTGTGTGAGCAGTGCAGCAGAACACATTGCATGCACTTCAAAGATAACCACTGGACATGCACGTAGTGGATGCATTCTTCAGAGACCTAGCCGATATGATCTTGTGAGGTTTCCTCGACACGGCTCAATTATTCATAGTAATTGTATAACACAGCGGGAGGATGTTGAGCACTACTCATGCAGTGCTCAACATCCTCTGGACTTACACTGCTCATATAGTGCTCAATACCCAGGGGCAGGGCTTTGTAGCACAAAAATCAGAACGGTTTGTTGTAACTTGTACAGTGCTGGCAACTGAAATCCGACCCCCTTGGCGGCGCGGCGCGCCGCCAAGGGGGTCGGATTTCAGTTGCCAGCACTGTAGTTTCATGCCTGGCGACCCCTCTCCCTTTCCTCTCATCTCTCTGTGTCTCCCTCATCTCCCTCTCTCTCTCACCTTGTCTCTGAGATCCAAGTTGCAACCAGCCTGCACCATGTACTGCACGATGTCCAGGTGGTTCCGTCGAGCAGCTAGGTGTACTGCCGGACAGCCGTACTGCAAAAACACACACACCAACAGATAATCATGTCAGTGTGCACTTGCATACTGTAGGCCTACAAATTTTCGGCCTCCCAGGGCTAAAACCGATTTCGGCCGCATTACATATTTGGCCTGTACTGCTGCTGCCTGTATACACTGTCACACTGAACTTTGCAGACCAAAATTTCGCCCGCAACAAATTCTTCGGCCAAACATGAACAGGCCGAATATTTGTTGACGTACAGTACCTGCTCACCCACAGCCCCGGGAAATCATAGCCGCTGAGTGGTGGCCGTAACAAATAACATGCGTTCAGGGCAGTCGGCGCAAATCTTGAATATACAAGATTAGGCATTTGTGCAACGTCCAATACGAAGGAGAAAAGGAAGCTTGCATGCACATCTTGTAGGCAATATGGTGTGTATGTAGGATGAGAGGAAGTTCGCACTCGGCAGTGAAATGAGTGTTTTAAACCCATTTGGGCAGCTGCTGCCAGAAGAGACTTTTCTTTACACAAAACCTACAGAGCTGGTACGAATTACAGAGCCCAGGAAACGCATCAGTATTTGACTCGTGCTAATGATGCGGACACGCCAATGCTATTGTGTGCTGCTAATATATGCAGTGCTAACAAGGCAAGCCCTGCGAGAAAGAGTCCCAGGTCAGCTTGTTCTAGCATCATGAGGCCGCACAGGTAGGAATGTGTGCGTAAGCCTCTAGTCCTGCGCCTACCTTGTCCTGCGAATCAATATCCGCATCATTCTCCACCAGCAGGCGCACAATCTCCACATAGCCGCGCACTGCGGACACATGAAGCGGCGTCTCCATCTCCTGCAAAATACACACACACACACACACACACCGCGTAAAGCAAAAAATGAAGGGTGGGATGGTCAAGACAATGGTCATATCCAATAGATTTGCTTTCTTTTTCTAAGTCACAGTGGCGAGGCTTCCTGAAGCTCTGTATAAGATCAAATATTTGACAGCAGCAATATCCCGGAAACATAAACATTTTTACTGTATGGTAGAAGTGAGTTGAACAAAGTGTAGTGTATTAAAGCAGCAGCACTGATAGTCTGCTCTAACTAAATGCCGGTTCTTCCTGCAAAAAACAACAACATGAAAGATTCATTCGTTACAGTCAATACGCATCAAGTTGGCTGATCACTAGAAAGCTCTCCCAGGATCGGACACTTCAGGCAACTAACAGTCTGCTGCAGCTTCAGCATCGGGCTTTCATAGTCTGGACATGCATCGAAGGCAGGTTTACCAACATTACTAGGTTGGTAGAAGCCAAGTTCAGGTTTAGGTGTCGCCGGTCTTACTCTGTTGCGAATGTTGATGTTGGCCGCTGCACGACATAAGCAGCGCACAATCTCGGTGAAGCCGTGCCAGCATGCGCAATGTAGAGTTGTCTCGCCATCCTGAACGGGCATACACAACAAAGAAGAAAGAAGAGGGAGGGGAGAGAAAGCGAGGGGAAGTAAGAAAGGCAAAGCCAGAAGAAAATACTCTTGCTTCTTGTGTCTCACGTTCTGCAATGTCACGCGAACCGTGCCATTCTTTCAATTTGTCACTGCAACCGGCTGTCCCAGGACAGCACAACACAGTCCAAGGCTGGGCTGAGCTGTTATTCGTAAGGCTGAGCTTCGCTCAATGCCGCTGGTAGCCCTTTCCCAAAGATGCTCGCCACTTTTTTCGGAACTTTTCGTTGTTTAGGAAGAAATCGCAACCTTCGCAACTTTCGCAACTTTCTTCATTTTCGCGAACTATTTCGCAACTTTTCCGAAACCTTAGCGCAGTTGGCGCCATGGCATGGGGTCAAAAGGTCAAGTCACCGACTCACCGACTACATGTCGGACAAGTGCATACTCGTCCTCGCTCATTTCTCGCCTGCCTTCAGACTGATTTCAGAGAAACAGTAGATCAACGGTAGTTGTGATAATGTGCACTGAAGTAATAGTTCACTTTTCCTTGCACTGGAATGATGTACATGTACATGTAGGATACATGCAACAGGCTACTGGCACTGTGTAAAGTGGTGGTTCACAGCAGGAAGAGGTGTAGATCTACGAGTTTGCTGTCGATGCACTTCTGCTATTCTGCTAACTTTTTTTGTAGGTTTTTGCACAAGAACTCTCCAATTCTAGGCTGCGATATTAGCAACTTTTGAGCTTTTTCTGAAGAAATGGATGCGATTTCAGCAACTAGCACTTGTTTTGGCACGGTTGCGAAAAGCATAAGTTGCGAAACATTATGGCATCTTTGGGAAAGGGCTAGCCGCTGGTGCCTTTTGGGTTTATTTTACGAGAAACCACAAGCCTCAAGAACACAGCACTGCATGATAGAGGCGGCTGCAGTCGCAGCTGTGGTGGTGAAATTGGAGTATCTCCGCTGACCTGAGGTCTCGGCATCGGCGACACTTCCGTACACAGGAGAGTAGGGAAGAGTAGACAAAGGGGATCGGGGAGGGGCAGAGTAGACAAAGGGGATCGGGGAGGGGCAGAGTACATGGCAGGTGTGTAACCAGCATGGGGCACGGTCCCCCCCCCCCCTAAAATGTTTGACCTAGTTCCAACATGCACATAATGACCATGAATGACATGCACCAGCCATCCTACACATATGCGAACGTGCACCCCCCCCCCCCCCGAAGGGGAACCAGCTACGCCCCTGCATGGTATAGCTGTACCTTGTCCTGCAGGTCCACTAGACCACCGACGGACACCAGGTGAGCCAGCACCTCTGGATGACCATAGCGAGCCGTGACGTGTAGGGACGTCTCCCCAGCCTGTACAACAACAGTGTGGATATATGGACATGTACACACACACACACACACACACACACACACACACACACACACACACACACACACACACACACACACACACACACACACACACACACACACACACACACACACACACACACACGCATGCACACACACACACACACACACACACACACACACATTGGTCCGCCAGACCCGTGATAGTCTTTCAAATTGTGTGTGTGTGTGTGTGTGTGTGTGTGTGTGTGTGTGTGTGTGTGTGTGTGTGTGTGTGTGTGTGTGTGTGTGTGTGTGTGTGTGTGTGTGAGATATGGAGGGTATACATGGCCATACTCTGCAAAATTCACATACGCCAGGTGGCCTGAGAGCTGGTCCGGTGGCCATAGCCAGACCAACTGTAGATCTACCAGTTCCGTCGGGTCTGTCTGAGGGGATGATCAGGCCGGAGCCTCAACTAGATCAATTCCCAAGTGCTGAAAGGTCTATCTGTGACCATTTGTCAATGTTCTTTCTATGCAGGGGTGTCGGACACGGTGCGGTCACTACGGTATTGACCGCACCCCTTTTGCCCCAGGTACCCCGTGAATCAATAAAATACATGATCTGGGATCTAAATTTCCAAAATTTCGGCTCAGCGGTGAGCCACCACTCCCGCACGAGGAAATTGTACTTCAGATGGCTGACCGTACGTACGTACGTACGTACGCCCCTGCTGTGCAAATATTGAGGCAATAGTGAATGCAGTAGGTATGGCTGGTTCTCTGTCTACTCAAAGCTTACTGTGTCCTGTGCGTTCACAGCTGCTCCACGTGTGCACAGGTACTGCACTACATCCTGTTGTCCGTAGCGTGCTGCCCAGTACAGTGGAGCATCGCCCAGCTACGTACAGTTGGATCATGCACACAAACGCACGCACGCACACACACACACACACACACACACGCGCGCGCACGCACATATACCGCACGCACACAACACACACAACACATAGGCATGTCAACAAAGAGGAGAGCTACCGTGCTGGTGTTGGCTGGTGACCAGGTTCAGGATATGCCCGATTACTAGTACCCTCTGAGCCTGACTTTTAGGTGCTCATTTCAAGTTTGCAACAATCCCAGTCTATTCCAACCAATGCGATGCATGCACCATTAGTCTTGGGTATTCCACACACTGCAGTCAACACAGGACACTACGAGCAAGCCTGTCCTCCTCTAGGACCCTCCATTCACCTATCACTGAGGCCTAGGTTCGTCCCTGATCGGTTCATCTCGTCACCTTACCTTATCCTTGCAGTCGATAATAGCACCAGCCCGGTACAGGCAGTCAACGATCTTCAAATGACCATAGCCAGCTGCTACGTGCAGTAGAGTTTCGCCATGCTGCAGTGCAGGGGCAAACATGCACGGCGAACATTCGACATTGAATCAGGAAAATACCAGCAGCCAAGAAACTGGAATGAAGTACAACTGGCGGCTAAGAAATTAGTAAGAATCCAACATCCGAACCCCCTTATCTTTGGCCTTTCTGACCTTACACTTGAGCAGGGAGAGTTGCATGACCAGAGCGGCTTACTAACGTGTCGTGGTTGTAAAGCTCAATACTCGCCTTTTTCCCTGACCTGAGTACGTGAAATTAGAGTGAGGGACTTACCTTGTTTGGTATATTGACGAGATGTGGAGCGGTGGCTAGCGACCTCTTCACCGCATAGAAATCGCCATCGTCAACCGCTGCGAACAAGCCAACGAGAACCTACGCAGGCAACGTATACGCGCACGCACACGCGCGCACACACACACACACACACACACACACACACACACACACACACACACACACAATTATGGAAATTACAGGACACCATCAGTATCGGCATGTGAGTGTGGCAAGAAGCCGCTCCAAGCAGGAAATCGTCCAAAAATGTCAATCGATTTGTTTCACCTGAGTAGATAATTATAGTAACCGGGTGGCTAGAACCGAGTTCTCCTGAGATGCGTTCTTTGAATCCGCCTGTCGAGAGTGAGAGCAGGTTGGGGTGGAGTATAGCGAGCAGTTGAACTTTACCATTCTGTACATCCACATCCCTTGGAAAAGCTCTGGTAGTGATGGAAAAGCGACTATTTACGAAGAGAGCCTAGCGGATTACCATTGGCGTTGCGTTCTGGCAACCTCAACTAACTAACTAATTAGTGGTAGCGATTGACCGAGAAACTTGCGTTATGCAATGGTGCCCTTGTCTGTTTTTGGTGCTGATCCACCTGGAGGTCAAAAGGTCAGTTCGCAGTTCAGCTATCCAACAACAAGGATCACGTCGACAGCTGTTCGCGCTGGTCACTCGAGTGTTCGCCGCACGGCTCTTTGTGTCCTATGGGGGAAATGCAGACTCGCGAGGCTGCGTGGCGCTGCCAGGAATGAGTCCGAATGACCACCTGTCCTTGCCCAAAGCATGTAGATCTATGTAACGCGTAGATCTATGCCCTTGTAGATCTACTTGTAATCTGCCTCCGAGAGGGTTCAACCCGGGAATGCCCCAAACCAGGATAAGAGCTAGCCACATACGAGTACCTGTACTGTGCTGGCAGTAGACTACAGTGGTTCGAATACACGCGCTTATCACTCCCTTAGTATTGACTCGCAAAGATTTTGCCATACCTAAGCAGTCAAATATTCCTGCATATTTCACTCCTTAGGCCGTTAGGGCTATATTGACTGCTTATATTTGACTGCTTAGGGGTTACGCAGTTGAACGGTGTCTAGTGCAACATTGTCACTGCATGAGTAGGTGGTGGTGCAATGGTTGTGCAATCATAAAACCGGGATTCATGAGGTTATCGTTCTGGAATTTGAAATACGGACTGTTTGTCGTGATAAATCTAATATTGACTTCGTACTTGGTCAGTATAGGAAATAAAAGACCTCGTAAAAGACCTCGGCTTCGCCTCGGTCTTTTACTCGGCTTTTATTTCCTATTGACCTCGTACTCAGTCAATATTAGATACATATCTATGGGTTACTATGAGTTACTGAGTAGCTGTAGCAGTGTGGGGTCCAGTGGACTACCAGGCTGACCTAGTACCTGTCTCTTCCATAATAATAATTATTATTATTATGAGAGAAAGAGGCTGTACTACGATGACTATTGTGAGCTACATGATCAGAGAGGTGAATGTCTTGAGTTACATGTACCGGGAATTGTTCTGACGTAGTATTACTATTGGCAAGCGGGCTGTGACTACCGGGGATTTGTCTAATGTCGTGTACAACTCCCTGGCGACTACCACGTTCACTCGTCATGTCATTGGACATCTGCATAGGTACTGTAAGTCATAGGAGGACATCATGGTGCTGCGTTGGTATGGCACCAGCCATTCCTCCTCCTTGGCAGCAGAAGGAACGTCCGAACATTCAGTTATAATACTTCAAAGTATATGTACATGTACTTGTTGTTTGTTTGTATTCTTTATTTAGAGTGGGAAGTCCAAAACAGGCCCTAGCCTAATAACAATGGTCCCACTAGTGAGGGAATGCTGTATATCTGTGCATAAGGATCAGTGTGTCCCTGAGCTTCATTGACCCGACCTGGCATGGTCGAAATGGCAATTTGCTAGCTAGCCATGGTTTGTTTAGCACAATAATTATTGTCATGTAGTTAGATCTACAAAGTGCAATGCGATTGTGCACGGCCGTCATACTCAGTTGTTTATCATACTCATGAGTCATGACGATGATGTTGTGCAAAGTGTTACTGTACAGTGAAGAACCACTTCTGTTCGTCTTCGTCACAATACACCGGCGACCTCAGTGTGTATGTATGTGTGTGTGTGTGTGTGTGTGTGTGTGTGTGTGTGTGTGTGTGTGTGTGTGTGTGTGTGTGTGTGTGTGTGTGTGTGTGTGTGTGTGTGTGTGTGTATGTATATGTGTGTGTGTGTGTGTGTGTGTGTGTGTGTGGTGTGTGTGTGTGTGTGTGTGTGTGTGTGTGTGTGTGTGTGTGTGTGTATGTGTGTGTGTGGACACAAGGTAGATCTACTCTTTCTCGGATGGGAACCCTTGCACTGTAGTCGGGATAAGTTAGCAATGCATGCACACACACAATCATGTCCATGTATGCACACCGGTATACTGGTAGTAATCATGGGAATGAATACACAATAGGAATGAATCGGTTCACATTGCCAACCCGCTGTTCTACGCCATGCACTGAATGTAATACAAATGCCTAGTGGCACACCGTATCACCGCCTACCTCTTGCTGGTTCGCGTTGTCCACGGCGCCTGAACTCATCTCGGTCGTCTTCTCTCCGTGGTTGATGTCTCGTCTGGACACGTGCGCATACGGCAGCTGCTGGGGCGAATGTACTAGCGTGTATGGCTGCCCATAATGTCTGGAATAATGGGCAGTTCGAGGGAGACGTCACCCACAATGGCTTGCAGTGAGAGACGCGTTCAAAGGGACGCCAGTTAGCCGAACAAGAACATGGGGCCCACTCATTGACTAAGGCATTGCGTAGTTGGCATTCGTTCCCAGCGAGCACACACCGTCCAGTCCTGCGAATGGTCTGCAACTACTTCTACAGGGCATGATAATTATGATGAAATGTATCAAGGTGGGCAGGCGCATGTGGCAAGCGACGAAACATACTACATGTAACAGACGTATTTCAAATCAACGTCCACTGACCATGGCTCATGCATGTATACATGTACATGTATGTCGGCCGAGCTAGCTGCGTGACCGTGAGCGCGCGGCCTGAAACGTCAGACACGACCACCTGCTCCGCGTAGACACCGGCTCCAGGATGTCAGGAATCATAATAATTATTATACACCGAGTGGCGTTATGTGTGTATCAATGCCATGGTCCACATGGTCCAGGGCCGATGGATCTACAATAATTGTTTGCTAGGATTAGTAGGAATAATGCCACACACAAGAAAAAAACACGAAGTCGTTGTCTGACACCGATGCTGGCTACTAGTGGCTAGCATGTCAGACAGCACATGGCCCTGGTCGCGTCGATACATTCAGTCAGTCTCGTGAATGTTTCTTGCACATGTACATGTACAGCTGAAACACTGATACACGTAAGTCCGAAGCATACGGACTGAGAGTATTGCATGTACAGTCAACTTCGCTAATAACGACATCGGATATAACGACAATTCGCGAATAACGACAGAATTTCCATGCCCAGAGCAAAGTCCCATTCCACTGTAATACATAATTATAATGAGACTTCGGGTATAAGGACACTTCGTGAATAAGGACACTTTTCTGATGCCCCGCCGAGTGTCGTTATAAGCGAAGTTGACTGTACATGACTGTATTGGCGTTGTCTTTTTCCGCGCCGCGAAGGCCGCAGAGAGTCAACATTGCAATATGATGGCACGCGAGACTGTACTGGTAAAATGTATCACCGACTGTCATTGGACCTGGATAAACTCGTTCCATTCTGTACACAATGGGTGCATTCCAAGACAGTGGTATCAACATCATAACTATTGTACATAGCAGTTGTCTGATGATTGATTGCCTAACGGCATGAAACTCAGAGTTACAACCAACCTGAACGTCCTCCGCTGAGTCTGCTATCAGTATGTACCAAGCTCTGTCTGTGACATTGAGCACTCTCTGCAGCTCGGGGATCAACGGATTCATAACTCATGATTGTATGTACATGTACAGTCATGTAGTTCTCTATGGTGCGTTGGCACTGCTTGAAGAACGCTTCACAACCTTCTACGGACCGTTGCCGCCTGGTAAGCAAGCGGTGATGCCTTGGGTTAACCGTTTTCTGAAGAGATGTTCACTGTCGTCCGTGCTGTGCACCTGGGGGTGACTTCCTTTAAACAGGATTCTAGACAGATTACTAGTACACAGCTTTCCTCTCCGATCAGTGAACTTCTCCTCCCAAGTACGTACAGGAAAGTCATGCCAAGCAACCACCACAGACAGTCGCTGACAACGAAATGAATCTACAGCAAAACCACGGACAAGATTTTTGAAATGAAGGGAAACTGTGATGTTAGAGGGTAGTATGGAGAGGAAACTTTCAAGCCTCAGGAAAGAGACTCGGACCTACATTGTACCTGTACTGTGGATACCAGTGCAGTATCAGTAGGTCGAATGTTACAGGCTAGCACCTGGCTTGTGCGACAAGAAATTCATAATGATGTTTACACCTACAAAGGCTGCCTTTGTGGTAATGCTCCCTCCTTGTGGTGGTGAGCACTCTAGGCAATCTGGGAACTCTCGCTATTGTGATGTTACACCTACATGCACAAGGCTACTACAGTACACTGTCCATGTAGCGTTTGCACAGCCACGTAGTCACTGCAGGCATACAACGTGCTGAGGAACTCAGCTGGATTTTTCACACAGGAATCAACATAATATTATGCCTGTGCTCGCTGTACTGTGTTGTAGGACATCGCACACATCAATGTAGCATGCAAGACTAAGTGACAGTACGTCGTGTCCATCATGCTACCATTACCATTACCGCCGGGAATAGCCCGGACCATCTCGTCGACATCCTCGCTATGGCTCGCAGAAGTAGTGATGTAATAATAATAATTATTAGCAGTAAATGACTTATTACATTGTAATAAGTTTAGGGCTGAGACTTCTTCGCTCAGGCTTTTTTTTTCTCAGATTATGAATCGTGCCTCGGAAGTCCTGGATTCTTCGGACAGGGCCCCACACCCCTTGCATTCGCGTTTCGAGACTCTTGAGTCTTGTCTCCTGAGTCTTGTGCATTCACACTGCATGCACCTGTGCACTGTACTGGGATGATAATGCTCGCACTCTGCGTCCACGTCCATGTCGCGGGTTTACCATGGTTTACAGTAGTAACTACGGGGATTCGTAAAATACCGGTATTTTATGACTCGCTTTCCCAGCATAGCGAGCGGTTGCCTTGCACGTCATGTGCAAGAAGTAGTTACAAACAAGTAGTTGAAGTAGTTGTCTGCAGTTATTGCAGAGCAGGAGCTCTGTGGGAAAACTTGTCGATATCTTCGTTCAACTAACTTAGTAGTAAGACGGTTACTTCAAGATTACCCTATAATGTAGAATGGCTGCTTGGTTTGCGTTACACGCCCCTAACTATAACAGTAAACAGCAGTACGAAATTCCGCTGCTGCGAACGGGCAGCTCAGGCGGCGGAGGACAAGAAGCTAAA